AATATATATGGCAGCTATAGCTATATCTGAACCGACCAAATTTGATACACTTGTTTCCATTCCATTAGAGCTAATATTTCAATAGGATTCGTCCTTGGGTCAAACAAATTTTCATCCGGACCGGGCAATAAATGCGAACTGTACTTTGTTTACAAAAATACAGGGACAGACAGACGATCGGACATGCATAAATCGAAATAGAATGTGATTTAATGCAGATAATCAAAAGGAACTATCTCTCGCTTACTTCTCCATGTTACAAACAAATGCACAAAGACATGTGGAGTAGGGTATAAACAATAGGGATTGAATATTGGGCCCACTTTCATTTTAGCCGTGGTAAAGTCTTAAAAATGCCATAGAGTCGATTGCATTGCTTTCCTGCTAAGTGCTTGTTATCTTTAGGGAGTTTCAATTTTAAAAACTGTTAAAAATGTCGCTAATATCACCAAAATACAAAATATTCGAATGTACCGCCTTATGAGTGATAAAAGAAATGAGAAATGAGGCGATTCCAGCAGTGTCCTGCTATGGAAGAGAGATTCCATTAAAGACACTACATAGCTAATATCAAACGAACGAACTATACGAAAACGTGGACCGACACGAACTTAACCCGCCTGGTGACTAAATTCACATGTGTGCAAAATTGCAGCATTCTATCTCAATTTGTTCGAAAGGTAGCGCGATTACAACAGACAGATGTAGAATGTTGTGCTGATCAAGAATATACACTCCATAGTATGGTGGAGGAAATAAAAACTTAATCAAACCTTCTTCCATGACTTAATGATATCTTTGTCACAAATATTTACAGAAAGATATTTATAAAATATATGTTATTTAGTTTTAAGTACTATTCAAATAGTCTTTGAACTGAAAATTACCGGCTTTAAGTTTAAAAGAAAATGTTTGATTTTTACTTGTCTATAAGAGAAATTCCGAAAAATTATAAATTATTAGAGCTAATTTTGTAGTACGTCGTATTTTAGGTAACGCTATTTAACGCTTTTAAACGATAGCCATATAGCTTACTTTAAAAATGTCAAGACCCACACAATCATGTTAGAAATAGTTGTATTCCTAAACCTGCAAAACAATACAGTTTTTTACATGCAAACCAAAAAAAAAATAAATTACTTTAATTTAGAAATGTACATTTTTGGATCGTGGTTTAGCAATTTAAAAAAGCAACTCTTAAAATGTTTAATTTGAATGTTTTCATATTATTCATCTAAATCTCAGTTAAAGGAACATCCATCCATTCAATATCAAGGTAAAAGTGACAATCCCGATGATTATTGACTGTTTTGTAAATTAAGTAGTCTTGAAAATCTATAGTGGCTGTCCAAGATTTTAGTAATTTGAAAATTATATTCCAAATATGTTTCATTAATCTTATACTAAATCAGTTAAATTTCATGTAGTTTATTCCAAATTGATTTGAAGAAAAATTGAAGTAGTAGCTAAACTCAATTTGTTCCCAATGTTGTTTTTTGTAAAAATGTTAGATGTATTTCATGTACATATCGTATAAAAATACACCCTGCATTCTTCTTTGCTAAACATTTGGATAAAAAGACAACATCAAATAAAATTTCGTTCAAATACATCGAGAACGCCGACACATTATGTTATAATTGGATATTCGACTTTATTTTAAATGTTCAATATTTTCAAGATTCCACTGTTTAAAATAATTTTATTTTGACAGTAGTAGGCAACATTTTCCCATTGTCGGCCTGACATGTTGCTAAAGCGGGCATACCATTTTTGTTTCTTGGTACGGAACATATAATGATTTAAATTATGCATTTTTTGCAAAGAAAATGAACCAAATAAGAAAGATTTGCCGACTTTGTTCTCTAAATCCAAAACAAATATTTTTTCTGGATTCCACAAAGAAAAAAGTTTTCAAATGGTGATTTTAAAATATTTAACACATTTTAATTTTTCTTTTTGTTATTTATAAACTGAATGCATTTTTTAACCTTTATTTTTTTACACCTACCACTACATGTTGATGAGCATCATCAAGTAAATGCTTACCTTTTTGAAAAAACGCAGCAATGACAACACCTTCATATGTCAAAAATTGTTTTGCATTCCAATTGGACTTTGCTAATTTTCGTATAAAAGTAGCTGAACAAAGTAAAATAACATGCATTTCGATAATACAGGCATCCTTCATTAAGGATTGAATATCGATTTTAAACAAAAATTATATGAAGAAATACTTTTTCATTTAGAACATTCATAAACACACCCTAAAACATAATTAAGTGAATTGAAAAAGCACATGTTTTTGTAGTCATGTCATCACACATAAGCCACAAAAAAGGAAAACATAGCAATAAGTTAAAACAAATAGTTTGTTGCTTCTTCGGCAACGACAGGAATAATCTTCTTTGGAGTCCTAACAATTCTGTTATGCTGTTAGTATTAACTTAGAATATTTTGCAATTTGTACTAACCTGTGCCAATTGGTCTTCTGCCGCCTTCCTCTGTTCGGGATTAGGATCAATTGTTGCACGCAACAGCTCCGTCAGCTTTTGGTGATCCATATTTTCTTGCGTTAATTAATATATCCGTGTACAAACAAATGCAGCGAGAAACCACACAATTTGTGTGCTACAATTTCAATTATAGCAATAATAAAAGCACAAACAATTCGCAAAATTATATGAAAATATGAATCTGTGGTGAACGGAAAACGTGTTAGCACCCGAAACCCGCGAGCAGAGTATGATGCCGAAGTATTCGGCCGCCGTCGTCTGTATATAAAATATATACCAGTCGGCGCCGGTGTTCGATGAACACAATTCGGGCGACTAACCCTGCGTTTACAAAAGACAAGACAAGTGGGTTAATTTATTATTTATCAAAAGCATGGTAGAATTAAGAAGGTAAAGTCATGTAATCAACATCTCATTGTCAAAATGATTATTTATAAATTAATTGTACATACACAAATCAGGGATGGAAACCTGCTTTCTATGCAGTGAAATTCGACAAAGTAAATTGCAGAAAATGCAAAGATGGGAATGTGTATTTGAAACGATTTTACCTTCTTAATTTTACCACGATCAAAATAAGAAATATTTCCACATGACATACAAATATCAATTATTTCTCCTTTTCGAAATGTTCTGAAATTTAGTGTCCAGTTTTTAGACCCTACAATACTATGTATTTTGTGTATTATAAGTTTGATTGCGCCAAAAAGTATGTAACACATGGAAATATTGGTCTTGCACATATAATGTTACATATGGATCCTGTTATCTCGCGGAGCTGAGCCGATCTAGCTATAGATGTCCTTCCGTCCGTCTGTCCATGTTTATTGGTAATCACGCTACAGGTAACAATTATGGCGCGATCCTCACGAAATTGAGCATGTTTAGCATGGACGGCCACTACACAATATGTTAGAAGCCCCCTTATGTCCAAATCCATTTTGGAAGATTTTGCTTTTGAAATAATGTCACTGAGTACTGCCCCGATAGCACCCTTAGTATTTTGAACACGAACATTTGCCCAATATTTACGCAATCCGTCGTGCTGTTAGTTGTTGTGGTCAGATATTTGGCTATATTCGTCAACGAAATCAACATAAACAAGCTAGAAGTTCGCCTTTGTGTATTTTGGATTTCGGCTGTTAGTTATTTTCAGCGTTTTGGTAGAATGTATTTTATCCTAAACTCTAACTTCATGCGAGATTTCGTGTCTTTTGGTTTCTATTTGTGATCTTTTTAACGGCTGAAAAATCGGGAACATTTTTGTTAGTCCATTTCAACTCCTAAATATATTGCGGATATCTTTAAAAACAATAGGCTTAGCCATTCTTAGTCTAACCCTAGCCTTGTGAAATTTTTCTTGAGGATCGGTCGATAATTGCAATCTGTATATGATAACCCCAACCTGAAGGTGAAAAAATATTACAAAATGTATACTTCAATATTATAGATCAAATTGAAAAAATCGCATGCGATAAAAAATATGAAAAAATAAAAAATGTCACAAAATACTACAAAATCTATATTAACATCATTATTGGCATCTTGTTTTTGTGTGTTTCTTAGATTTTATTTTTTCGTGTCAAGAGAGCATTGTGAATTGACAACATTTGTCAAAATCTGTCCAGCCATTCTTGAGATATAAGCATTCTAGCTAACATCCACTTCCTTTGTATATATACATTGTATATATTTCGCTATATTTATCCGATATATTTATCAGCGGCATCTACCTAACAGTCACAGTTGACCTGTTCGTCTATTTGTGATTTCGCCGGGATTAAAAATATTGGCGGTTTAATGGAAAATTTGACTTTTATTTAACACAAATGTTATCGTCTCTTTCACCCACTAAATATTACCTGATGACCATCAAAATTAGAAGGCTTCTGGCCAGTCCTAATCTCAAGCCCCATGCTGACTTACGCGTCGATTGGTTCATAACTGCGACCTGTAGAGCAACTGCAAAATCATGAAAGTTTTTGGTCCATTTCAACGCCTAAATATTATGCGATCATCTCCAAAAGCAACAAATCGATAATTTTGAAAAAAAAAAAAATGTAAACACATAATTATATGACTTGACCTTCTACCATGGTAGAAGAATATAGGTAGACGCGTCGACACAGCTGCTGGGACAATGAACTGTCAAACCAACTTTGAAATTAAAAATGTTGAATGAAAAATTATTTAAATTTGTAAACATTTTTGAAAAACGCGAATTTTAATAGCCTCCGACTGACGTAGTATAAGGAAAAATATAAAAATCTACTTATATTTGTAAAAAACATTTATTTTTTTTTGACATATCAATGCTCCCAAGCGTTTATGCATCTGCCATGCATTCTACCATGATAAAACCCTTTACCATGACAAATTTTCAGGTTGTTTTGAGGTAAACTTACCTTCTCCACGTATCATAAAAAATTTAGTTATTAATAAACCAACAAAAATTATATTTTTCTGTATTTTACAGATTATAACTTTACAGATTATAAATAATTTTTATTTATTTTTTAAATAATTGCAAGAATTTAATTCATCTGGGCCGATGCAAGCAGCGAATGACATAAATATTGGCAGTACATTCTGTTCTAATACTCCAGTAAATAAATGGGACCATGGACCTAAAAAGAAAGAAATACTTATTATAAATCATTTAATATGTATCGTTTTCACTAAACGTTTACAAAAGGATAAAGTTAAACCATACAATATGGACGTAGAACAGTTTCGTAAAACTTTAGAAATACAGCCCTGAGGCTATGCCAGCTTTCTGTCCGAATTATTCAAAATTATATGCGACAGATTGTTTTCATTTATTTTATATTTTTCCTCATTTTTAAAATGAGCTAAAAAGCGTGAAAAGTGAATGAAATTCCTAGATTTTCATTCAGAAATATAATCTAAACTGTACAATCTTTCGATTCCATGGCCAATCTGGTTAATAATGCTCGTCCCGCAATGCACGTTTCTTCCAATCATTTGGTCTGTTCCAGAACTGCAAAAATGTAATAATTTTTACTACGATAACCGATTTTGATCAAAATTAGTAGATTCTTGCAGTTTCTGTAACTGAGCAATTCTTTTTGAAAATATTTTGATTTAAATTTTCGAAACAATAAATACATACACATAATTGGCAGAAGTTGGGCACACTTAAGATGAAAGTACATAAAGGGGTTTTTTGACTGGCTTAAGTCATCGGCTGGCTTCTTAGTTCGATTTCGGCCCTAGGATCCTTTGTTCTTTTTCAAAGAAGCCAGCCGTTGATTTAACATATACTGTTTCAAAACTATTCACACCAATCAAATGGCATATTTTTTGTAAATTTAAAAAATGAAGCCATCTGACGCTTTGGCATTTTTACATACGGATTTGTTTATTCATTTAAATGCACTAAAATTTCAGTGTTGTATTTTCACGCCGTAAGCTCGCCTAAATCAGGACTTAAGGTTAAAACAGATCAGAGCTTAAAGTACTTTTAGATACCAAATCTCTAAACCCTGATAATTGTCCAATCACTATAAATCTTAAGCATGGTTCAATGAATTCAAGGTAGGGCAGAACTACCATATGATTTTAATTTTTTTATTTTTCTGGCTTAATATGTCAACTTCATTTGTTCATGTGAGTGTCTTCTTTTAAATAATAAAAGATTGTTCAGAAAATATTCAAATTCGGGTGTTTTCAAAATGCTTATTGCAACATGTGCATCGACAAAATCTACAGTTTTTGTCGCGAAATAAACCATAAGAAATATATAGAACATGATTTTGAAAAGAAGTATTGACCTTTCATTCAGTTATCGCGGTTTTAAATTATTTATTCAAAATCAATGCAACAAGTTGTTTGATTTTTTATTGTTTTGATACTAATTCTGACATTACAAGCGAAACAGGTAGACCTCTATACTTGCAATTTTTTCAAAGAAGGCCTACCTTCTCTTCATTGTACTATGATCTAAAGTATGTTCTTGGTAACATTAAGAAGGTAAAGCCATTTCAAATAAACAGTCCCATCTTTGTATTTTCTGAAATTTATCTTGTCAAATTTCACTACATGGAAAGCAGATTCCCATCTCTGATTTGTATGTGTACAATGGACTTATAAATGTACATTTTGACAATGAGATGTCGCCAAATGAATAATTTTTAAAAATTGTAAACATATGATTGTGTGACCTTACCTTCTTAATTCTACCATGGGTATGTTTGTATATACTTTTTATAGTTCAATGTATTAATGCTTTGATCTGTTTTAACCTTAAAAGTGAAAATAGATAAAGCGCTTGTTTAAATGGCCTATGTCATTGGCTAGCTTCTTCGAAGAGGAACAATGGAGTTTTGGGTTGACTTAGTTCGATTTTGGTCCTATGCTCCTTGATTTTTACCGTAGAAGTCAGTCGATGACTTAAACCAGCCAAAAAAGCGTTTTATGTATTCTCGCCTTAAGTCCTGGTTTAGACGAGTTTACTTGCGGCAGTTTTTATGGTTCTATTTTCAAAATTGACTTTTTAATTTATACAAGGGAATTTGTTATCAGAAATTTTCTTTTCGCTTAAACGTAACAACAACCAAACAAACAAAGTTAACCTAAACTTATTCGTTCTTTTACAAAAAAAAAAAAAAAAAAATAGAAGATAACATTGAAAGATGCATTACTTTCCTTTCAGACGGTTACCAGTGTAAATTAGCTACTTTTTCTTATTTTTAACATCAATTGTCACTATATCAAGTTTTTTAGTTTTTGCATTATTGTTTGGTAGTGAATGCATACGTAAACAAACATCAGATGAGCGGCTTTTATATCTTCCTAAAGTTGTATCGAAACACACAAGGTTAACCCACTAGATCTATTCGTTAACATAATTTTACTTACCGCTGGAATAGATCGCAACGTCACCACCACCATGTGTTTCATCAATCATAGGTGCGGCCGCCGGGTATTGAAAATCTTTGCCATCTGAAATATTTCAATATTTGTCAATTTATGAATTATCGCACATATTTGTGATACCTACCAATATTTGAAATTTTTCTTACATCATACCGTTTGACTACATGATCGTTCGTATTGAAAAGCAGGCCATTTTCTGATTTATCCATACCCGATCTCGGAGAGGAATAAAAGAAATTTGAAAATGCTGGTCCATTTGCATAAGACAATGTTGTATATGGCAGGAAATCAATATCAGTCATATCGGTACCAACGCCGGTAATTGTGTTTCCCAATTTGGGATAACCATTAATGGTCATTGTGTGGCCATGGTCAGCGCTAATGACAATGAGTGTTTCATTTGGATCTGTTAATTCATAAGCCCGTTTAATGGCCTCATCAAACTGGACGGTCTCATCTAAAGCCTTTTTAGCTTTCGTTTCATGATGGGCATGATCAATGCGACCACCTTCCACAAATAAAAAGAAACCATTCGACTCGTTACTTAGAATCGTTATAGCAGCTGAGGTCATTTCTTGTAGAGTGGGCTGAGAGCCGTCATTGTCTAAATTGTAGGACATATGACTATTGGCGAAAATTCCAATTAAATTATTTGTACTGTCAGTATCAAGTTCCAGCAATTGTTGTCTGGTGTGAACAAACGAAGTGGTTCCGTCTTTAGCCTGAATCCACTCGTCTATAATATTTCTTCCATCCAATCGCTCACCAGCATAGCCAGAATAATGTGCTGAAGAATTGGGCAAAAGTTTAGCACCACCTCCGCCCATAATAACGTTAAACTGTTTTGAAACTGTGTTTTCAACTAATTGTCTACCAATATCAATACATTGTTCTGGATCTGCATGCCGGGTAATGACATCGAAATCACTCTCAAAGTCCCGGTGTGAGGTGTGCGCATATGCACCCGCCGGACTGGCATGTGTAACACGCGTAGTTGTGACAATTCCTGTAGCTTTTCCAGCTTTTTGGGCCCAACTGGCTATGGACTCCAATTGATTTTCGGCCCTCAGTGCTTCTTGGCATTCTTTTAGTTTAACGCGTGCAGATACTCCGATAGTTTCGAAATTTGCCTTTATACCCGTGTGATAAGCAGTGGCTGTACAGGCAGAGTCAGCTACTTGTCGATCTGCACAATAAGTCTATAAACACAAATTGATAAAAGTAATAAATTTGTTTAACATTTCTATGGAAATGCGTTTATCAAGAGATCTATAAAGAAGAGCGATTGTTCCGTGTAAGATTTAAGGCCAAATATCATATTTTGTCTGAGTCATATGTTAAGTCACCATCATTCATGGCATAAAAAATCTTTTACCTTAGATAGCCCTACGTAGGGGAATCTTTCCATGAACAACGAGTTTCGTTCTCCCACAAGACCTTTCTTCTGGCCATCATATATGCGACTAGCTGTAACTGTTGGTACTGACATTCCATCGCCAATAAAAAAGATCACATTTTTTGCAACATTTTTATTTTCAGACAGGTATAGTTTATTTCGCAGTGAACGTTGGGAATCGGTTAACCAAAATCGTTCATCTCTTAGATCATCAGGGTTGCTTATTTTATATGATTCGTCTGAAAAAGAAGTATGAATAAAAGTCGTGTATTAAATAAATACATATACAGGGTGAGATAAAAACTGCAACAAAGTCAAACGCCATAATTTGTACATTTTTTAATTTTATTGAATGAAAGCAAATAATGTCGGAAATAACATCAAATTTTAGAATAAGTTTAGATTTGTTCGAATTGGTAAACTTTGGCACGAATTATGGCCTTCAATCGGCCAATGAAACACGCTGCCCGAATGTTGCTCTGCGGTATATTGGTCCATTCCCGGCAAAGTGCTTGCTTGAAGTGATCGACACTTTGGTATTTTTTAGTACCAACCTTGCTTTCCAAAATACTCCAGACACAATAGCCCAACGGATTGGTATCGGGAGATTTTGATGGCCATTGTTTCGTGGAAATGAAGCGAGTGGTGGCGCGTGGCCAAATGCGGCCAAAATGTTTGCGTGCCCAAGGCTATAATACACCCTCCAGAATATTTTCGCTACAATACTCGTCGTTTATTCTGATGCTACGGTCGATTATTACGAGCGGAGAGCGACCATCATGGCCGGCGCTTGAATTCTGGTGGCCAACCGAAGGTGCACATTTTCAGCTGACATCTTTGGCATGTAAACATGATCATTTTGTTTGTTTACAAACTGCTGGACAAAGAATGTTTCCTCATCGGTGAAACCCAAATTCGGGAGTTCACCACTTTCGGTCAAGCTAAGCAACTCTTTAGCTCGTTTGAGCCTATTTTCTTTCTGCTGCGGTTTAAGTTCTTGCACTTTTTGAAATTCAATGGCTTTACCCCGACCTCATTTTTCAAAATTTGCCGAATGGAATATTGCGATATGTTCAGCTCACGAGCCATTTTCGGCCACTGCGACGCGGGTTTCAATCAAGTCGCTTCTTTACTTTTCGAACCATTTTTGCTTATGTTGCTATTTTCTTCCGTCCACTTCCTTGACGTCGAGCTACGCTTCCAGTATCACGGTAACGAGCGGTGATACGAGACACCATTGTACAATGAAGAGAAGGTAGGTCAACTTTGAAAAAATTGCAAGACTTAAGCTGGGAATACATAAAGCGCTTATTTGGCTGGCTTAAGTCATCGGCTGGCTTCTTCGGAAATGAACAAATGAGCCTAGGGCCAAAATCGAACTAGGTCAACCTAAAACTCCTTTGTTCATCTACGAAGAAGCCAGCCGATGACTTAAGCCAGCCAAATATGCGCTTTATGTATTTCCTGCCTTAGTTCGATTTTGACCCTAGGCTCCTTTGTTCATTTCCGAAGAAGACAGCCGATGACTTAAGCCAGCCAAATAAGCGCTTTATGTATTCCCAGCTTAATGCGCATATTTGGCTGGCTTAAGTCATCGGCTGGCTTCTTCGGAAATGAACAAAGGAGCCTAGGGCCAAAATCGAACTATGTCAACCTAAAACTCCTTTGTTCATTTACGAAGAAGCCAGCCGATGACTTAAGCCAGCCAAATATGCGCTTTAGGCTGGAAATACAAAAAGAGCCTAGGGCCAAAATCGAACTAGGTCAACCTAAAACTCCTTGGTTCATCTACGAAGAAGCCAGCCAAATATGCGCTTTATTTATTTCCAGCCTTATGTACTCTTACCTTAAGTCATCGGTTGGTTTCTTCGGCCCATAATTTACGCACATTTGTTCTTTTACGAAGAAGTCATAGAACAAGGGTTTTACTGGTTTAAGTCATCGACTGGCTTCTTCTTAAAAGAACAAAGGAGCATAGGGTGAACAAGTACAAATGAGGGATCAAAATTGAACTAAGTCAACCTAGTCTCTTTGTTTTTTTTTTTTCGAAGCTAGCCGATGACTTAAGGTGGGAATATATAAAGCGCTTATCTGGCTGACTTAAGTTATCGGCTGGCTTCTTCGGAAATGAACAAAGTAGCCTGGGGCTAAATCGAACTAAGCCAACCTACAACTCCTTTGTTCATCTACGAAGAAGCCAGCCGATAACTTAAGCCAGCGAAATATGCGCTTTATGTATTTCCACCCTTAAGCCAGTAAAAAATCTTCTTTGTACATGCACCTTTATTGAGCCATGCAAGCGTTTTATGTTTTATCTTGCATGAAAACTTAATATCAAATTAATCGAAACCCCTCAAAACAAATCTTAAGGTGAGATTACATAAAACGCTTTTTTGACATATTTTTTTCACTAACAATATCGAACTAAATGAACGTAAAACTCCTTAGCTCTTGTACGAAGAAGCCACCCGATGACTTAAGCCAATAAAAAATATCTATTTTCACCGTTACTCCCTAGGTTGCCGTTTTTTTTTTTTTTTTTTTTTTTTTGGAAATTCCTCCTTCAAAGTATATTTAGACTTCATATAATAACCTATTTTATCTATGCAACGACAATTTACGAAAAAACTTCTGGTAAAACTATAATACAAATATACAAACTTAATTAAAGTTAAGGTGGGAATGAATAAAGCGCTAATTTGGCTAGCTTAATTCATCGGCTGGCTTCTTCGTAGAGTAATAAAGGAGTTTTAGGTTAACTTACCTCGATCCTTTGATCATTTCCCGAGAAGCCAGCCGATGACTTAAGCCAGCTAAATAAGCACTTTATGTATTCCCACCCTTAAAGTACCGTTTTTAGATGAATTTCTGGAAAATTAAATTATAAATGTGGTATGTGTAAAGTATTTTGTGACACCTGAAAATTGCAGTAGTATTTATTTCTAGTGTAATTTAGTGTCTAATATACATAAATTAAAAAAAGTCGCATTACGAACTAACAATGTCCAGGATTAGAAAAACCTAAACAACCAGACAGTTTTATGCCATTAGTTGTGAAATCTTAAGATATAACATGGTAGAATTAAGAAGGTAAAGTCATGCAATCATATGTTTACAATTTTTTTCAAAATTATTCATTTGACAACGTCTCATTGTCAAAATGTGTTTTCATAAATCCATTGTACATACACAAATCAGAGATGGGAACCTGCTTTCCATGTAGTGAAATTTGACAAGCTAAACTACAGAAAATGCAAAGATGGGACTGCTTATTTGAAATGACTTTACCTTTTTAATTTTACCATGAGAAATAAATGGAAATTTTTGAATTTTTTACAGTGTGTAAAGCAATATGTGACAGACTGTATATATGTCACAGGCCTTGTGAACTCAAACGTTGTTTTCTATATATTGATATTTGCTTAAAAATGTTGATTGTGGATAACTTTTGGTGTTAGCACAATAATACATGTGCTAACAAATATTAATTTAACAAAAGAACACCCAATCGAGCAATAATGCATAATAGTTAGAGACACTTGAATCTACAGGAAAGAAAGAAGAAAGAATAAAAAGTACCCCTTTACCCATAACAATTTCTAACCTTCCACCCATAACAGTTTAGCGCCTAGTGACATACCCAAAATAAAAGACTATTGAATTCCTGTATTTGCTGTCAATAACACAAAACATATCTAATACTTCTTTGTTATTTTCCCTTTCTATTTTTATAATTTTTTTATTGGATAGTAAAACTACAAAGAGTGAAATGTGCCCAGAAAGTACGAGAGCTTTTTTGACTGGCTTCTTCGTAAAAGAACAAAGGAGCCTATGTGCAAAATCAAACTAAGTCAACCTAAAACTCCCTTGTTCCTCTGCGAATAAGCCAGTCGACGACTTATGCCAGTAAAAAAACTCTTTATGTACTTCCACATTACCATTTTTTTACTGGCTTAAGCAAAGACTTGGCTTCTTCGTATAATAATAAAGGCGAGAGTACATAAAAGGCTTTTCTGACTGGCTTTAGTTATCGTAGTGAAACAAAAGAGTTTAAGATTGACTTAGTTCGATTTTAGCCCTTCGCTCCTTTGTTCTTTTCCGAAAAAGGCAGCCAATGACTTCATCCAGCAAAAAAAAAACGTTTTATATACTCTCTCCTTAAAGAAGTGTTAAATTGACAGAGTTAATTGTCGGCCTATGATTTATGCTTTCCTACCCTACGATCGTTTGTTCTTTTACGTCAACCTAAAACACCTTGGTTCATCTACAAAGAAGCCAACCGATTACATAAGCCAGTCAAAAAAGCGTTTAATGTATTTTCACCTTTACTCGGCCAGTCTCACCTTTAAACCAGGCAAAAAAAGCTTTTTATCTATTTTCACCTCTAGTTTTTTACATAAATTGTCTATCTTGATAGATAATGTTTGGCTATTTTTTTGCATTCTCTTTCGGTTGTGTATATATACGTAAACTAACATCAGCTGAGCGGTATTTATATACTCTTAAGGGTGTATCCATCGTAGAAGAATATAGGTAGACGCATCGACACAGCTGATGGGACAATGAACTCTCAAACCAATTTTGGAATTGACAGTTTAAAATGAAAAATCATTCAATTTTGTAAAAATTGTTGAAAAACGTATATTATAGTTTCCTTCGATTGACATCGTATAAGAAAAATAAACATGTTAAATTTTTTGATACATCAATCTTCCCAAGCGTTAATGCATCTACCTGTATTCTTCTACCATGGGTGTATCTAAACACACAAATTGGGTTAAGGGCTAAGGCTGGAAATACATAAAGCGCTTATTTGGCTGGCTTAAGTAATCGGCTGTCTTCTTCGTAGATGAACAAAGGAGGTTTAGGTTGACTTAGTTCGATTTTGGCCCTAGGCTCCTTTGTTCATTTCCGAAGAAGCCAGCCGATGACTTAAGGCAGCCAAATAAGCGCTTTATGTATTCCCAGCTTAAGTACATAAGAAGCTTAAAGTCATGGCTAGGCATATTTTGTGACATTTCACAAAGGGATTACAGAGCCGCACTAAAATCCAGCCGTCGTTTTCCATTATAATTTGACATTAATATGCCTAGCCATGACTTCAAGCTTCTTATGTACTTAAGCTGGGAATACATAAAGCGCTTATTTGACTGGCTTAAGTCATCGGCTGGCTTCTTCGGAAATGAACAAAGGAGCCTAGGGCCAAAATCGAACTAAGTCAACCTAAACCTCCTTTGTTCATCTACGAAGAAGCCAGCCGATGACTTAAGCCAGCCAAATATGCTCTTTATGTATTTCCAGCCTTAAGCTGGGAATACATAAAACGCTTATTTGGCTGGCTTAAGTCATCGGCTGGCTTCTTCGGAAATGAACAAAGGAGCCTAGGGCCAAAATCGAACTAGGTCAACCTAAAACTCCTTTGTTCATTTACGAAGAAGCCAGCCGATGACTTAAGCCAGCCAAATATGCGCTTTATGTATTTCCAGCCTTATGCTAGGAACACAATTGGAGCGAACGACGAATTTTTTCGCGGCGTATGTTCGTCGTCAAAAATAAAACACATATGTGTATATGGAAGTGCACACAATCACGGCACCGGCGAAAATTTCGTCGGTCGCCGCGAACTCAATTAGCTTTATTTCTATTTCATACGCCGGCGACCAAGGTAGATGTACTAGGTAATCGCATCAGCCCAGCTGACGGCACCATTAAATGTCAAAACAAATTGTTGTAATGAAGAATTCGCCCTAAATGAATGCAACAACAAATTTGTTTATATTTTCAAATAATTTAAGAGCAAGTTTAGAGTGAAACCAGTAAATAAAATTGAAAGAAAATGAAGGAAGGAGGTTAGAATGGAGTGCAGCTTTAAGAATTAAGTTAGCCTCAACATCTAAAATTCCCAAAGAACATCACGGGAAGTAGTGTTAGAATTCGACTCTTGCCATTTGCAGATCCGGAAAACTTTCAGTTTAAACCAGTAAAATATAGTCATTATAAGTTTCTTGGTTTAAAAAATATCGCAATACAATAAAATTACAATAAAAATTTTTATTGCGACGTTCGTTTACGATGAGAGTCACACAAAATAAAATGTAAACAAACACCTCGTTTCTGATTGGTTGAAACAAATTTGCCGCAACCTTTAAATGTCATGGCGAATCTATGTTTTTCGCCTTAGATGCCAATTTTGACATTTAAGGGTACCACAAAAGTTGCTTTGTTGTATCAATTCGCCGATGCGGTTACCTGTTAGATCTACCTTGCCGGCGACCGGCGAACAAAACAGTACAAGGTGGCCATACTTGTACGAATTTTATGTGTTTTAGTAAATAAAGTTACTTTTTACTTTAAAATTTGTTATGGTCACTCTACTATCTGTTACTCGTATAAAAAAAACATAATTAATTTGTTTATTTATTTGTGTACTTGCGCCTGAGTGAAGATGGATATCAGTGAATTTATAATAGAGAAGATGGACATAAGTGAAATTATAATAGAGAACGTAAAGAATTATGTGTTCTTGTATAATTCATTGTAGTCAACAAATGAGCAAAAAGTAAACAACTTCATCAGCTGTTTTATAATTTCGTCGGTATTGTGTTCCATACGACGAATTTTCGCGGCTCATTTTGTCGCCGCGTAGGGCGAAATTCGTCGTTCGCTCCAATTGTGTTCCTAGCATTAGCCCTTTAGTCTTCAATAGTATAAATTCGTGTTTTTACAATATTTTTGATATAAAAATGTAACATAAAACCATAAATCACTTACACAATGTGAATATTGAAATGTAGAAAATTTTAATTTTTTTTTAATTAACAATTCGAAAACGTAATAAACAGATAGATTTAAAGAACTTTATTACTTTACCGTGTCTTTTTTTATAATATAAATTTTTTGACTTTGTAAATTTAATTTGAACATATAATACAAGTTCAAATTGAATAGATTATAAACTGTATACTGAGCGCACCAATTGTATCATTTATTTAAGTTTTGACATGTTAAAGCTCTCTCACACACACAAATTCACAAAACACATCAACGTGATTTTCATGTCTTGTTGGACATTTTTAAAAAAATATTACTTCCAATATTTAATTAGTACTTTTTTATAATTTACTAACGAACAATGATAAATGAAAACCAAATTACAAAAACCACACACCTATTTGGTTAACTTGAAAACCGGTCGAAATTTTTAAAATTACGAATAAAATGAAAATAGCACGCATCTTTGGTTTGTTGGTTCGAAGCGAAATGATGATTATGGCCAATAGGGACTTACTTTTATATATGAATTATATATTTCAAATTAACATTTTCATTAAAATATGTGAGAGCAAACCGGCATCGGTATGTGCCTTCGTAAAAAAATATACATTTAAACACGTACATACATACGAACAGTAAACAAACACTCAGCGACATTTGTATACACATTTGAATGGGAAAGATCGTTGAGAGATCCAGTTTAGACACGTTTGCTTTTCTGATTAAAATTATTGAATATTAAGTGTACGAGTTTGACACAGACGACCAGCTACTGTTTCATTTCATAAAGGTTTCTGTTCTAATTATTCAAACATATGTACGTGTACAAAGTTTAAATTTAATATTAGTGTTTTTTTTTTTTTTTTTTTTTGATGCGTTACTTGCAAAATAACTTGAGACAGCAAGAGAAAACAAAGGGCTTTTTTCACCACACAAAAGTAAACGTTATTAGCTGGTAAAGATACCTGGCGCATTTGGATAATACGGATGTTGAATATTTCTGTACGCTACTATGATTTTTGGGTAATGCTCATGGTAAAAGAATACAGGTAGTCGCATCGACACAGCTGCTGGGACAATAAACTGTGAAAACCGATTTTGGAATTGAAAATCTTGAATGAACAATTATTGAAATTTTATAAAATTGTTGACAAATACATATCATTACAATCTCCGATTTGCGTGTATAAGAAAATATATAAAGATCTATTTATTTTGACAAAACACTTTTTTGACATATTAATGTTCCCGAGCGTTGTTGCATCTACCTATATACACCATGGGTAATGCTGTTGCACAAAATATTTTCACAATTTCTACTTCTACAGTATTTTCTAATGGTGTGGTTTGTTTTGATTCACCATTCATTCCATGGTAGACAAATACAGATAGTCACATTGACACAGCTGCTGGGACAAACTGATTTTAGAATTGAAAATGTCGAATGAAAAATTATTGAAATTTGTAAAAGTTATTGAAAAATACATATTATAACAACCTCTGATTTGTGTCGTATAAGAAAACACATAAAAATATATTTATTTTTGACAAAACGTATTAAAAATGTTGACTTATCAATGTTCTCAAGCGTTGATGCATCTACCTGTATTCTACCATGATTCATTCCTCTAATGTGGCCATATTTACACTGAATAATGAGATTTTCGTAATTCATTAAATCAATCGAAACTCGAAGAAGCTAAAACAAAAACGATCGATATTAAATGACGAATTTCAAACCATTCCATTTGGATTTTGTGACATGCCGGAATGATGACAAAGAGCATTACACGTAAATCCTAAAACATAATTTAGGGTGGAAATACATAAAGCGCATATTTGTCTGGCTTACGCTGCAAATACATAAAGAGCATATTTGGCTGACTTAAGTCATCGGCTTGCTTCTTCGTAGATGAACAAAGTAGTTTTAGGTTGAAATAGTTCGATTTTGGCCCTAGGCTCCTTTGTTCATTTTCGAAGAAGCCAGCCGATGACTTAAGTCAGCCATATAAGCGCTTTATGTATTTCCACCCTTAAGTCATCGGCTGGCTTCTTCGTAGATGAACAAAGGAGTTTAAGGTTGACTTAGTTCGAATTTGGCTCTATCATTTCCGAAGAAGCCAGCCGATGACATAAGCCAGTCAAAGATGCGCACAATTTATTAATATCAAGTCATAAATTGTATGACTAATTTCAATGCACATTGATTATTGATTTCCAGTTCTATTCCTTTCAAAGTATTTCCAAAAATAATTCCAAATTTCTGAACTTCAGCTCCATAGGTTCACCCAAATCCAATTAATACAAAATTTAAGGTAAGGATACATAAAGCGCTTATCTGGCTGGCTTAGTTCAACGGCTGGCTTCTTCTGAAATGAACAAAGGAGTCTAGGGCCAAAATTGAACTAAGTCAACCTAAAACTCCTTTGTTCATCTACGAAGAAGCCAGCCGAGGACTTAAACCAGCCAAATATGCGCTTTATGAGTTTCCACACTTAGTACTATTTAGCATACAACTCCTAGATCCAAATTGTACCAAAATTAGTACATATAAGTTCAAATTTCCAAAACTACCTACATCATACAGTCCAATAGAAATATTATTTTCAAATTTCAGCATTCCATCTCTACCGTTTCACCAAAGTTTGGGTGTAACGGATTTTGTAGCATTTTGTAACAAATTTTGTACCATTAAATACACATTTGTACAAATTTCCAAAACTACCTACATACCTCTGTTGTACAATGCAATAGTAATCTTAAGGTGGAAATACATAAAGCGCTTATTTGGCTGGCTTAGGCTGGAAATACATAAAGCGCATATTTGGCTGGCTTAAGTCATCGGCTGGCTTCTTCGTAAATTAACAAAGGAGTTTTAGGTTGACCTAGTTCGATTTTGGCGCTCCTTTGTTCATTTCCGAAGAAGCCAGCCGATGACTTAAGCCAGCCAAATAAGCGCTTTATGTATTCCCAGCTTTAAGTCATCGACTGGCTTCTTCGGATATGAACAAAGGAGCCTATGGCCAAAATCGAACTAAGTCAACGTAAAACACTTTGTTCCTTTACGAAGAAGCCAACCAAATATGCCCACTATCCATTCCAACCCCTATTTCCAAATTTCAGGATTCCAACGAAGTTCCCGTGAAATATTAAAATACATGTGAAAGTGGCAACATAGCCATGGTTGTCATGTCACTCTAAAACTGTAACTGAAATATGGCAACCTATGCCTGAATAACAAGAAGAAGAGCAATATTAGGAAAATTTTTGTGGACAGCATTATATTTAGCGTCATTTTAGTTCGGAATATTGATATATCTTCATAAATTCCTTTAATATCATTAAAGTATTTGTAACTAACACAACTTATTTTGAATTGGAAATATATATCAGCCGTAAAGTGTAAAAGATACTTCATTGAATTTTCAACAACTACATTTGAAGCAGGCGATAAGAAGAAATTGATTGGGAAATATTTTGACTGCAACTTGATGCATAATACACAGACAAAAATGGCGCCTACCTGCCAGTAAGAATATAATCAATTGTGATTATTGGAGAGACTTTGTGGCTGTAGCTGAGGAATCTACTTGTTGACTTTTATTATAATTACAAAAATCATAACCTCGAAGTTTAACATGTCGTCCAATGTGGATGGGACGACCGGTATTGAGTCTATTAAGGCTGATATTGATCAAGAACGGAAAAATGCAGCAAATCAACCAACGGAAGATGTTGGTGGTGATTCGCCACGTATAATAGGAAATGAAATATTGGTTAAACCACAAAACAAAACTTCGGAAGGTCAGCATACTGATGATTTGTTTTCATTGGAGCGGGAAATAGCTAAAATACATAATGTTGATGAAAGTGCTGAAAACGTACATGTTAATCTTGCACATACGTCTTCTTCACCATGTGGAGACAATGCTGAAAGCAATGGTGACACGATTATTGTTGCAAGCAACAGCTTAAACACAGATGAAAAGGAAGCAAGTGAAACAAATTATGAAGTAAAAGTAAACACAATTGCATTGGGGGAAACAGCGTTAGACCATGAAGATTTGATTGCCGTGTTGAAGGGATTGGATGATGGAAATGCTACTGATGCAGATTTAATTGAAGGTGTTACAATAGAGGGTGAGGGGGAATATCAAATCATGGAAGTGGTTGACGATGATACAACTGAAGTAGAAGTGTCACCACCATTATCCCCCCTAAAATCGGGAAACTCTTCGAAATCTTTTGGAGCAGCAGTTCTTACCACAGAAGAAGAAAGGGCCTTGGCATTGGAACAAATGGCAAACATTGATAAAGGTCGTAACAAACAGCGCAAACGTAAACAGGATATCAAACCAATGCAACAGATCGACCCTGTTGTGGACTTGGTCTCTTCATTGGAAGCAGATTGGACTGATAATGACGATGATGGTAGTAGAGAAAATGTAACAACAAATAAAAAGGAGTCGCCTGTTCCAGTTCAAATAATTGAGTCAAAACTAAATGTTCCACAAATAACCAGCGTTGTTGTTATCCCTCCATCGTCCGACAAAAGAAAAAGTTCAGAGTCTATGGTACAGAATTCGACAAGTGCCGATAAAAAAGAGAACATTTCTAAAGAGAATGAGTCGAAAGAAGCAGTCAGTACTTCATCCCCGATAGAGGGTGTAATTGTGACAAAAACAAATGAAGAACCACAAATCTTAAGCTCACATACAGGTAAGTTCTGTTTACTTCATTATTTTAGCTTTCGAAAATAAAAATAACTATTATTATTTCTGTAAAACACAACAAATTTCTTAGGCTAACTCTATATAATATTAAAAACAAGTTTTCTATAAAGTGAGAAAATCCAGGGAAACACAAAGAATAGAAATATCTTTAGAATCTGCAGATAAAAATAATACCTTTTCTTCCAAATTTTAGTGTTAATTAAATGTAAATGCCCTCATTTGTTAGGCTGAGACATATTTTATCGTCGGTCGGAAAGTGATTTGAATTCAATCAAAAATGGTTGGTCGTTTAGTGGCTAGGAATAAGTAATTACTATATGGGCCCAATTGTGTTCAGTGAAAACGCCACATTTCCTGTGAAATGCAATTTTAAGCAAAAGGTCCAAAGCAATAGAAAAGCCAAGGAACCTAAAGCAACCATAGTGTTATACAGATGAGTTTGAGCTTGAGACGAGTCATTTTAATTAAAATGATGTTAAATAGTTTAAAATGTAATTTGTTCCTTTTTTCTACCTATTCATATCATGCTTCAAATACGGACGAAATATTAAATGTAATTTGTTCCATTTTGAAATCTTCTTATATAATACTATTTGAACTGAATTTTTTATGCTTCTGATGCTTAGGATTTCGTCGCACGCGCATTATAAAACGCAAAATAATATGGGATCCAGATGCACCAGAAACAACATTCTCTTATGCAAAATTAGTCACTAGCAGCAATAAGAATAAATCTAAGACAGAGTCGCCCACCCTACCAACTAGTACGATAACCAAAGGCTCTACTACCATTAAACCTGTTAAGAAGGAAGTCAACCCGAATATTGTGAGAAAAACCCAGAGACCGGCTACGCCAAAAGAAAATAAACTGGATTCTACTATTGGCAAAAAATCGATTGCAAGTCAAAGGCAAAACAATAAGAAAGAGGAGGTATCAGAAAGTAAAACACCAGCAGAACCCGTCAGAAAATCATCTAGCCCTTCAGCATCGGATCTTTCTCCCAACAATAATAAAAGACGATCATTAACACCAGTAACCAATGGCCCCGCTGCAACAAAGAAAAAGAAAGTGTCCGAAATCGACCGTTTGATGGGTGATGAAGGAGCTGTAAATATGATTAACTCTTTGGAAAAATTAGGTACTGTAGAAACAAAATCGGCGCGACCGATGATGAGAAGTCGTGCAGCAACAATATGTGAAAGAGTAAGTAGTCAAATTTTCAAAATTTGTTTTTTAATATTTACGAGGTATTATATAGATACCCCGCAAGGAATCAATATCGCCGGTCAAAACACCACCACCTACAACGACTAGTCCACAAACTCCCAGAAGTGGCAAACGTACACCTAAGCCACGAGCCTCTTCCGGATGGGATTACGTTTACAAACAAAAACAGCAAAATATCGATGATTCCATGATAATACGACGACGTTCAAACAGTTCATACTCTAGCACGGCTTCTTTAAATCGATTGAGTCTAGATGGTCCATCGACACCTGGTAATACAACAAAATCCCAAGATGTTAAATCTACAACTTCAACGCCGGGAAATGTAACACCGAAAGTCGATTCAAAGACCCCCGATGATACTGCATCTCAGGGCAAACGCGCAGGCGCCAACAGCAAGAATAGCCCTAAATCGTTTGAATTTGCCAAACCTGAAAATAAAAAAACACAGAGACGTACAAAAAGTCCGGCAACGGGAACTCTTACAAGCGATTTGAAAAAACCAGCGCCGGCCGCAAACAAGCGTACATCGCACAGTCCAACTTCAACGTTGGATGACGAACAAAAAGATGTGGGAAATTCTCCAAAGACTGTGCCCACGGCAACTGCAGCACCGGCAAAGGATAAAGCTCATACTTCAGATGTTATTGTTAAAAAATCATCCAAATTGGCCCAGATTATATTTAGCACTAATAAAGCCAAATTAAGTTGTACTTTTACGGCTCAAGTAAGTAATGAAGTATTCATAAGAATCGCGTTTCTAGTATTTGCAGTGTTAAATCGCTAACCATAAACATCTATACATCTATTATAATTATAGTATAAAATTTTCAAAATTCAATTGATATCTACAGTTATGGGTTCATGGCATGTCACAAATAATAAATTACGTTTTACCGTCATGGTACATCCAATTAGGCTTCGCCATTTTGGATGTTTTCACAGCAAATTTCCTAGACCATTTCGACAGAGTAATAAAGTAAAAACAAGGACATAGAAATATAAACACAGAGTGCAAACATTATTACCAGGTGTATTTACTTCTGTTTTTATGATATCGTAACTACATGAAGACCAATGTTAAGTGATTTTAGCCCCTAAGGCAATATGCAATTAATTGGGAACGTCTATGAAGTGAAGTTTGGAAACCATCTTTTTATACCCTCCGCCATAGTATGGAGGGTATATTAAGTTTGTAACACCTCGAAATATACATTTTAGACCCCACAAAGTACATATATTCTGGATCAGCATAAAATTCTATGGCCATGTAGGTCTACGTCTTCGTATAGCCCCCCATATAACGGTACCTCCCGATATGCGGTATTTTGATGACTTTAGCGACATTATTTACCGCAATTGTTTCAAAATTGGTATTTGAATTTCGTAATGGATACTACTTCATAAGACAGAAAATGGGCCATGTAGGTTCACGTCTTCGTATAGCCCCCATGTATCGGCATCCGCCGATATTCCGTGTTATGATGATTTTGCGACATTATTTACCAGAATTATTTCAAAATTTTGTATTTGAAGTTCGTACCGGATACTACAGCCTATGCCAGAAAATTTTCTGTGCAGGTCCACGTTTTATAACCCTAATGGTATTTTGATGATTTTAGCTACATTATAAACATATTTCTTCAAGTTTCGCATTTGAATAGTGCTTATGACAGAAATTACCTATGCAGGTCCCCGTCGTCGTATAGACCCTGATATATGGATACATTCGGTATTTTTAAGATTTTAACAGAATTTTTAACGGATTTTATTTTTTTGAAAATTCTCAAATTTGTACCAAATGGTGGAGGGTATTCAAAGTTCGGCCCGGTCGAACTTTTAGCTTTTTACTTGTTTTTTTTTTTACACATTTCTTTCCCATTTTCTTCTAGAAATGTTTTTTTCACTATTAACGTGCCTTTGTGATGAGCTGTTTTTCTACATATTATAGCCACAAACAATTTTCTCAGAATACATTTTGTCAGGTCTTGACCATTTTATGTCTCCGACGGAAGATCTTTGCCCTAACAGACAAAACATAAACAAAATATTTTCTTAGCTACATTGCTTTGAACACTAACATATATTTATTTTATTTATGTTTATCTATATTTTTCAGATGTTGAATAAATTATCGGATATTTTGGATAAAATGGCAAATGATTCTGACACGAATGTTACTGTCATTTTAACGAACGACACACACTTTTGCCAGGGAGTCGATTTAACTGAACTCGCAGCTGGTTCAGCAGAAAAAAGGAAAACTATAGTAAAAAATTTAATCGCTGCAGTCAAGTTAGTTACGTAAATTGATAATATTCAAAGTGATTTCAACAAATTCTTTTTCTCACTTCAGGAGATATTTGGTAACATTGGCATCATATCCCAAGCCATTAATAGCTGGTGTAAATGGACATCTTATGAATCTAGGTGTAATGCAATTGCTGTTTTTCGATGTTGTCGTGGCTGGTGATAAGTCTACCTATGAAACATCGTATACTAGAATTGGTCAGTTACCGGAAAGCTATGGTGTTTGGAATAAATTGAACAAAATTCGTGGATCATTTGTAAGTTTGCTTTAATTTTATTTGCTTTTCATTATCATTATTTTGTGCTATCTTTCTTTCGAAGAAAACCAAACTATTTTGGCTAAGCGAGAAAGTGCAATCAACTGAAGCTGCATTGGCGGGCCTTGTTAATAAGCTTACTTCTGGCGCGAAAGTCAACGAAGAAGCCATTAATATAGGCAGAAAAATTGCATCGATGCCTGCTGAGGTAAGAATGTAAAGTAAAGTAGTAATTATAAATTAAATTTAAATTTATGCGTTTTCAGTCATACCGCTCAATGAAAAACACAGTAACGCAGTGCTACCTCGAGGCCATCGAAGAAACATTTGACGAAGAATTCACTACAATTGCCGAGCAATGGTTATCTAGTGAATGTGTGGAACAAATCAAAAAAATCATTGACCAGGGACATTTTTAGTTGCAAGGGTTCGTCTCTTTATTACGTTAATTTCGTTTAATTGCAAGTATTTTGAGTTCAAATTATTTTCATGTACATATCTGTTATGTACAACAAAATACTATATGGTGTTTCTGATAAGTTTTAGTATGACTTTTTTTACCCAACTGGGATCTTAATTTCTTTATATTTCTAAGTATAACTCTAAAAAAAGGGATATTATAGAATATATCCCTACACAGAAGTGGCAATTTGAAATGTAATTTTAAACGTGGATTAAAATTTCCAAAGTCAAACACATTTATTAACCATACAAAAAATGTTTCGAAAGAATGTGCAGTTTTATGCAATTGTAAGTAAAGAAAATATGTTTGAATAAATATTAAAATAATGTTTTGTGCATTTTATTTATTTCCATGGCATGGAAAATTTAATGGAATTCAGTTAATAACAATAAAAAAGTAAAAATAAGTAAACAAATAAATAAATGAAATGTTAAATGCTAAAGGAGTAGTCGTAAGTTTTTTTTTGTTTGTACCCGATCACATCTTTGCTATCAGTTGATTGGAGGGAATAAAACAAAAATCGCTAAAATTTGGATTGAGAGTCATTGACGGAGATAGATGTACCAAAGGGTTTTTGGAAATTCCGAAAAACTAAAAGGTTACCATTTGGAATTATGTGAACGGATAGAGGTAAAAATTTGAAATGTGGTATGAGCATCAAAGTTGGAAAGTAAGTTTAATATATAAAAGTGCTTGTGGAAATGTGTATTAAGTGTGCGAACTCTTCTAGATGGTTCTTAAAATTGTATATTGGGTTCTCTGTTGGTAGTAGGATTGTGATTAAGAGGTGGTTTTGGAGATGCGTGCTTTAAGTTCACGAAAAGTACTAAATAGTACTGTAAGTCATGTCACCGGAACAAACTCAGAACGAAATTGGTTTTAATTCCGTATTTGGCTTCTTCAGAAAACGAAAAACGAACTTTTTATTTCGGATTCCAACCACTTTGGATTTTGAAAGTTAAATTGTATTTTTATGGGAACTCGTAACTTTTAAACTCTTTTAAGTAAAAAAATGTTTTTTTGATAACAAATATATATACATTTTTTTATTTCAAATTTTTATTGTTTCTTAATTGGGGAAGCCAATTATTACCAAAGTGTTGCCACATAATTTTTTTAAACCAGTTGTTATACCCTCTACCATAGTATGGAGGTTATATTAGGTTTATCATGCTGTTTGTAACACCTCGAAATATATCAGCAAAACATTCGATGTCGATTTAGCGATGTCCGTCCGTCTGCCTGTCTGTGAAAATCACTCTAGTTTCCGAACGAAATGAAGTAGGTTGATAAAATTTAACTCAGACGTGTGTTTTGCAGGACTCTTGCTATTGAAAATGATCTATATACAGGGCGAGATAAAAAACTGCAACAAAGTCAAACGCCATAATTTTTACATTTTTTTTTTAATTTTATTGAATGAAAGCAAAAAATGTCGGAAATAGCATCAAATATTAGAATAAGTTTAGATTTGTCCTTTGGCACGAATTATGGCCTTCAAACGGCCAATGAAACCGTCACACGTTGGCCAAATGTTGCTCTGCGGTATTTTGGCACATTCCCGGCGAAGCGCTTGCTTAAGGTAATCGACACTTTGGTATTTTTTAGTGCCAACTTTGCTTTCCAAAATATTCCAGACACAATAGTCCATCGGATTGATATCCGGAGATTTTGGTGGTCGTTGTGCGCTGGAAATGAAGCGAGGAACCTCGTTTTGTAACCATTCTTGAGTGGTTAGTGTGATGATGCTGAGTCCTGTTGGATTATCCAAGGTCTGCGGTCAAAATGTTCGCGTGCCCAAGGCTTTAATACAACCTCCAGAATATTTTTGCTATAATATTCGGTATTTATTCTGATGCCACGGACGATTAATACGAGCGTTATGGCGGCCCACACCATCACCCTCACCATGGTCGGCGCTTGAGTTCTGGTGGCCAACCGAAGGTGCAGATTTTCCTCTTTGGAGAGTAAACACGATCATTTTGTTTTGTTTGTTTACAAACTGCTGGACAATGAATGTTTTCTCATCGGAGAAAACCAAATTCGCCAGTTCACAACTTTCGGCCAAGCGAAGCAACTCTTTGGCTCTTTTGAGTCTATTTCCTTTCTGCTTCGGTGTAAGTTCTTGCACTTTTTGGAATTTCAATGGCATTACCCCGAGCTCATTTTTTAATATTTGCCGAATAGAATATGCGATATGTTCAGCATGCGAGCCATTTTTCGGCCACTGTGACGCGGGTTTCGATCAAGTCGCTTCTTTGATTTTCGAACCATTTCTGTTGATGTTGCTGTTTTGTTCCGTTCACTTACTTGACGTCGGGCTACGCTACCAGTATCACAGTACGAGCGATGGTACGAGACACAAAAGATTTATTCACATTTAAATGCTAGAGTGCCCTAACGATAGCAACTTGTAGTTTTCCAGCCAAATATAAAGAAATCACACTATAACGCTTAACTTCCATCACGAACAACTTTTTTTCTTAAAAATTTTCGCCAAAATGCTTTTGTACGCTTGTAAACAATATAATGAACTGCCACTGGAATAATTTTTACAGCTGTTTGATGAGTGGCTTAGAAATGACAGCAGTCTGGCATGAATTATGGCCTTCAAACGGCCAATGAAACCGTCACACGCTGCCCGAATGTTTCTCTGTGGTATTTTGGCCAATTCCCGGCGAAGGTGCACATTTTCAGCTGACTTCTTTGACAAGTACACACGATCATTTTGTTTGTTTACAAACTGCTGGACATCGAATGTTTTCTCATCGGAGAAAACCAAATCCGGCAGTTCACCACTTTCGGTCAAGCGAAGCAACTCTTTAGCTTTTCTGAGTCTATGTTCTTTCCGTTGCGGTGTAAGTTCTTGCACTTTTCACGGTAACGAGCGATGGAACGAGACACAAAAGATTTATTAACATTTAAATTCTGGAGTGCTCTAACGATGATGGTTTTCCGGTTGAATTCCATCACGAATAACTTTTTTTCCGGAAAATTCTCACCAAAATGCTTTTGTACGCTTGTAAACAAAATAATGAGCTGTCGGAAGAGTGGCTTAAAAATGACAGCAGTCTGAAGTTGGTTGCAGTTTCTTCATCTCACCCTGTACTTGTGCCTCAATTACAGAAACAATCAAAACTTCCGGCATTGTGTAAAAATTAACAAAATTAGTTTTCATTTTGCACAATAAACACTTTTTTAAACAGAATATTATTCTTCGTAATCATGTGGCTTTTTTTGAGTTCTCATTCATTCGTTCCTCTAATGTTGCGAAGTTAGTTGGTAGGAAAAATTCGTATCGGAAATATTTTACTTTCGAATCGAGTTACATAGTAACCCCCTGATAATCTAGTTTGAATCCGAAATTCCACAAAAAAATATCTTCCCATAATCAGGGTAAAAATGTCCAACCGTGTCAACAATTTCAGAATGATTCATAGCCCTTAAACTGAACAAGGTTGAAATTATTTCCTATTATTAAAAAAAGATATATTTAGTTTAAATTCAATAATTGTTTTTTTATTTCATTGTAATAAGGTATATTAAAAATGTAATTTATTAATAATCATTGCATTACATGCCATATATTTGATGTACTAGAATGTTTTGTGTCATAGACAAAATTACTCTTCTTAAGTGCAGTGATGAGACCATTGTCGTTTCCCTTAAAATTTGGTCGAGTTATTCTTATATTTAGGCCTTCTTGCATTACCTATATGAAAAAACCTCCCATTCATTCGGTTAAATAAATAAAATATGCGTTCCTTAGTATTAAGAAGAAGTATACTATTTTCTTCTCATCGTTCTTATGAGATAAGCCAAAGCATAATGTAGTTACTAACAATTAATATGAATTACAAATTCAGATTTGTTGCTTGACAGTATCATTTTGCATTGATTGTATTATCATTTCAAACTGTTTAATGTCTCCAGTAATTTTCTCCAAGCTTGCTGCAACATTTTTCATATGTTCCCTATCAATTTGTACCTCTAAATCACGAATTTCTTTGGTCGTCTGACCAGTGCGTGATACCAGATCACATATTTCGTTACAAGAGGCATGTAATGAGGCCAACAATTTGTATGCTTGCTTGGCATGCGAATGCACTTTGGCACTTTGAAATAACAAATCATCGGTGTAGTTGAACTGACGCTGTAATTGTGCTGACACAGAGTTAAGTTGTTTCTGCAGGTCTCTAGTGTCATCAAGAATTTTAAAAATATCATTACGTTGTTTTCGAATATTTCCTATGAACTCATATATTCGCCGTGTATACTCTTTTCTTGGAGCGATTCCAATGGCGCACCTTTTTAACTCGTCTGCTAGTTGGATATGGGTACTGGTTTTTTCCTTCAGACTTGTTTCATAGTCCAGTATGGTTTGACGTAGCTCCTGAATGTTTTGCAAGTTTTTCGATTGTCTCAGTCTTTGTATTTCTTCAATTTGCTTTAATGCTGGCTTTCGGTGCGACTGCCATTGATTCTCAACGGTCAGGCGTCTTTCTCTGGTTTTATCTATAAGCCCCTCCAGCTTGACGATGTTATCGTTAGGATTTTCCAAAATAACACAAGTACGTTCATGGAATTTCTGATCTTTACGCATGCTGTCCATCAGAGCCACTATATCTGCACGTTCTTGACGTATTTTACTGAGCTTATTATTGCAAGTTTGTAGCTCTTGTAAGCAAGAATCATTTATTTGTTGCAATTCTTCAACATTTTTGATAAGATTCTGGAGAGGAGTTGTTGCGCCTGCCACAACTTGGAGCTCATCTTCAGTATTTTTCATTGTGCAAGCTTCCACTGCTTGCAAAGATGGTATAATTGGATTTGGTTTATTATTGACTTTTATCTGCACACCTTCTAGACTTAGGCAAGGACTGTACAAGTCAACAGCGCATTTGTGTAATACTGAGCTCACCAGGTCACAGTCGGCTGCAGTTGCTTGTTGAAATATATTTGGTGCTTGATAGAACTCTTTCGACTGCGAATCGCTTTCAAATTGTGGAATGTGTAAGTTTAAATGAGGGGTAAAATCGACTGTAAGGCTACTGTTGCCTTCCCCTTTTCTGTTAGCCAAACCACGGCAGTACTGAGGAACCCAGGGTGCTTTTAATTCCCTGGATACCTTATTTTTAATTTCCTTCAACAACAAATTATATTCATTTCGTTCTCCACCGCCCTCAATGGAATCCAACGTATCATTTAATTTTGGTAGCTGCTCAATTAAAAACATGAACAACCGCCTGGTGTCCACCACATTCGGATAGAGAAACGTCTGATAGCCAATGTCACCTCGATAACCACATGATACACAAGCTTCAGCCAGAGCAGAGGCAATGGTAAATTTCTGAGCCATATTCAAACTTTCCGGCAATGATTTGGGTACAACAGCATCCGCCTTAATTGCTTGTAAACATCTTGACACCGATCTCGCAAGTATATCTGGTGTAAAATGATTTAAGGAAAACACTTCATTGTCATCTGCTTCCAGTTTACATCCGATTTGTTTCAATGAATGTATTATAATTTTATCGACTTCATCCATGTTTGATTCTGGAAGCACTCTCCAAAGTTTCAAGAGTTAGAAAACGTATCCTTTGGATTGTTTAATTATGTGGTTTATCGAACTCTTTCAAAATACTATTCACTGATAGGGATTGTATGAACCGCACCAACAATCAGTTGGCAATTTACAGTCAACTCCATATAACGAAAATAATAAAAATCTGTCCATAAAGTGGGACTATAGATTTTTTAGATCAATTTTTATGTTCAATTATAGTGAAAACTAAGGAAATTCTCAATGTGGGCAAGTCTTGGCAGCTACTATTGCCGCTAAATCACCATACACATCCGGATTTTCTCTAATATGTATTATACCCTCAGACATATGGCTACATTTGATACGGCCAAAACGTGCCTCATCGAAATAACGGGTTTAGATCCTAGGTCTCTTGGGACCAAATCCTCTTTCAGGACATTTGGAGTTGATCTAGCGATGTCCGTTCTTCTGTCTGGCTCGAAGGGAGTATTCGATTTGGGACATCGTAATATTATTGTCAAATTTAGATCGAGTTCGGAGATGGGCAATATCGGGCCACTCCTTCTGGTACCTCCCACACAAAATGTCAACATTTTCAAAGAAAAAAATTTATTGCACAGAAAGAGAAAGGATAATTCGATTTTGCTTCAACTTTGCAAATCCTAATATTTGAATCAGTGCTAAAACAAAAATGGACAATGTCGGTCCACTCAATCAAATATATAATCACAACCTTTATAAAACACACATAACAATATTTTTATTTATCCAAGCTCTGTTGTGAAGATGGAATATATCGATCCACTCCTTCCCCATAAAGATTCAAAATTTTAACTATCCGTAAAACTCATAAAACGCGAAATTAACATGTTATTCCATTCAGACTTGACAAATCTCAAAATTTCTATTAACACAAGATCTGTTATAAAGATGGTAAAGATCAGACCATTCCTTCTGGTACCTCCCCCACAAAGGGTCAAAGTTTGAATAAGAAAAACGATTTTAAAATCCGAAATATACATCCGGCGCTCTTCATATTTCGCACATCACAATATTTTTATTACCCCAAGGTCTGGTGTAAAGATGGAAAATATCGGTCCACTCAACTGGCAACTCCCCCACAAAAGGTCGAAATTTTCACAAAAAATATTTTACTGCTCAGAAAGAGAATGGATAATCTGATTTGGTTCCATTATTGTGAATCCAAATATTTGCATCAGTGCTAGGTCAGGTGCGAAAATGGACAATATCGGTTCACTCTATCAAGTACCTCACCCACAAAGGGTCAACAATTTGAACATCCGTGAAGCTCATAAAACGCGAAATTAACATGTGATTCCATTCAGACTTGGTACATCTCAATATTTCCATGAACACAAGATCTGTTATAAAGATGGTATAGATCGGACCATTCCTTCTGGCACGTCCCTCACAAAGAGTTCAAGATTTTGAAAAACAAAACGCTAAAAGAAAGCAAAATAAGCTTTTAACTCTCTTCAAGTTTTACTGATCTGTTGTGTAGATGATATATATATCTGCGAACCCTTTCTTTGTGGTACCTCACCCACAAAAAGTCACCATTTTCAATAATATTATCTGTCATAACTTGAGAAAAAAGTTAGCTATTTTTCTAAAAATAATCACATATGAAATGAAGGAAGTATTCGATATAGTCCAAACCTGGCACGTCGCAATATTTATATCATATTTATTTGGATGCGACACGAAATGGACAATATTAGCTCATTCCTTCGGATCCCACTTCATAGAGGGTCAACAATTTGAATAATCAAAATATATTTAAATAATCGAATATTGGCTCAGGGTATACATCAGTCAGCAAAACCAGCTGATTCCTTTAAACTAGTTTTCAAATCATTGTCACATAATTTACATACCACATTTTGCACCATACAAGCTCTTTGATCACGCATTGTACGCACAATGTCCAACGGATAGACTGGTTCCCGAGCCTCCATCAAGGCTAATGCTGTATCCATTAGTATCAAAACACCCGTACGCCCAATACCAGCCGAACAATGCACTATCACAGGCGGATTAGCAGCACTAATACATCTGCAACGTAAAAATACATTTAAGAAAGGAAAATTGGAAGCAATTTATTGAATTGCAAAAAAGAAGAAATTCTTACTGATGGACACTTGTTGAAACTGGTGTTTCATCTTCGGGAGTAACACCATTACTTGCAGCACATTTGCGTTCGCCCATAATACCACCATTTTCATCAGCATCAGCATCTAAAAGCCGAACTTGTTTAAGACTTTCTTCGATTTCCTGCAGCAATGTACGATTGCGAGCATTTCGAACTCGTTCCACAAATTCCAAGAAAAGATTTGGATCTGAGGGACCTTTCTAAAGAAAATAGTTTGCAGCAGAGAAAGAGGAAGGATAATCCGATTTTGCTCCAACTTTGCAAATCCTAATATTTGCATCAGAGCTAGATCAGGTGCGAAAATAGATAATATCGGTCCACTCCTTCTGGTACCTCCCTTACAAAGGATCAAAGTTTTGAATATTCATGAAGGCCATAAAATGCGGAATTAACCTCCGATTCCATTCAGACTTGACACATCTCAATATTTCCATCAACACAAGATCTGCTATAAAGATGGTAGAGATCGGACCATTCCTTTTGGTACCTCCCACACAAAGGGTCAAAATTTTGAGTACCTATAAAACTGATAAAACGTTCCATTCAGACTTGGTACATCTCAATATTTCCATCATGGTATGGTACCTCCCCCACAAGATATAAGATTTTTAAAAAACAAAACTCTAAAATAAACGATATAAGGATCCAACCATGGTACAATGAAGAGAAGGTAGGTCAACTTTGAAAAAATTGCAAGTATAGGGGTCTACCTGTTTGGCTTGTAATGTCAGAAATAGTATCAAAATAATAACAAAATCAAACAACTTGTTGCATTTATTTTGAATAAATAATTGAAAACCGCGATAACTGATTGAAAGGTAAACACTTCTTTTCAAAATCATGTACTATATATCTCTAAAGGATTATTTCGCTACAAAAACTCTAGATTTTGTCGATGCATACGATGAAATAAACATTTTGAAAACATACGAATTTGAATGTTTTCTGAACAATTTTTTTGTTATTGAAAAAAAAAAAACACATACATAAACAAATAAAGATGACATATTAAGCCAAGAAAATAAAAAAATTGAAATCATATGGTATCATACATGGTACAATGAAGAGAAGGTAGGTCAACTTTGAAAAAATTGCAAGTATGGAGGTCTACCTGTTTGGCTTGTAATAGGTGTGTCTGGTTACTTTTCCAGCAGGAATTGTCCAGTAACTTCTTTCTGAGAGAGTAAGGTAGTTTTATTCTCTTTTGCAAGGAAAATGCGAAAAGTAAACAGACGGTATTCCTGCAGAAGCTTGCAACTAATCAGCTGATTTGTCAAAACAAACCAATTTGTCCCCCATAAGGAGAATTAAAACAAAGGAAGCAATACTAATTTTACAAGTTTTTTTAAATAAAAATGTTGGATATAGTCGTTTATTTTCTTATTGCATATTAACATTTACGTTTTTCACATTTTGTAAAGTTGTTCTCCAAAAACTATTAGTCTTGCTAATTCCAAAAAAATATTTTCAAATTGAAAGCACAAAAAGAAATAAACAAACAATAGAAAACATCTGATTGAATGTCGATGAATGAGAAGAAGAAGAGTTGCAAGTGATTGCAAGAAGAAATTTTTCCAGCAAGAATTTGCAAACTCTCACTGAAAGAACTGTCAAAATTTCTCTCTCCAACCGCTCTCTTTTGCAGAACTTTTGAGTTAACAGACGACTTCCAGTAACAATTTGTAACAATTGTTACAAACTTTAGGGTAACCAGACACACCTAATGTCAGAATTAGTATCAAAACAATAAAAAATCAAACAACTTGTTGCATTTATTTTGAATAAATAATTTCAAACCGGGAAAAATGAATGAAAGGTCAAAATTTCTTTTCAAAATTATGTTCTATATATCTCTTATGGTTTATTTCGCAACAAAAACTGTAGATTTTGTCGAGGTATACGTTACAATAAGCATTTTGAAAACACCAAAATTTGAATATTTCCTGAACAATTTTTTATTATTGAAAAAATACACACACATAAACAAATGAAGTTGACATATTAAGCCAGAAAAATGAAAAAATTGAAATCATATGGTTGTTCTGCCCTACCTTGAATTAATTGTACCATGGTATCATAGACCTACCTTGATATCATTGTACCATGGATCCAACCATGGTACAATGAATTCAAGGTAGGGCAGAACTACCATATGATTTAATTTTTTTTTATTTTTCTGGCTTAATATGTCAACTTCATTTGCTTATGTGTGTGTCTTCTTTTCAATGATAAAAAATTGTTCAGAAAATATTCAAATTCGGGTGTTTTCAAAATGCTTATTGCAACGAATGCATCGACAAAATCTACAGTTTTTGTCGCGAAATTTTGACCATTCATTCAGTTTTCGTGGTTTTAAATTATTTATTCAAAATCAATGCAACAAGTTGTTTGCTTTTTTATTGTTTTAATAGCAATTCTGACATTACAAGCCAAACAGGTAGACCTCTATACTTGAAATTTTTTCAAAGTTGACCTACCTTCTCTTCATTGTACCATGGATCCAACTCTCTTCAAATTTCACACATCCAAATATTTTTACTAACGTAAGGTCTATTGTGAAGATGACATATATATCTGCCAACCCCTTCTGGAACCTCGCCCACAAAACGTCACAATTTCCAATACTTACATCTGTGCGAAACAAGTCGGCGATTCTTTACAACTTGCTTCTTCTGAATATTTATCTTAACCAGAAATGTGATATGAATGTAGGCGGCACGTTGTAATATTTGTATCAGTCTTACCTCAGATACGAATTGGTTAATATTGTCCAACTGCTTCGGATCCTCCCCTATAATGAGTTTGAATAATCATAACTCAAGCTGGGGGTATACATCAGTCGGCTGATACTATTTTACTTGTTATTTATTCGTATTGATCTCCATGGAATAGAAAAATTACGAAACAAAATATGGATGATTTTTTTTTTAATTTTTCATGTTCCTTCCAAAAGTTCCGCCCGGCAGAACTTCCCTCCTTTTTGCTTGTTCATACATGGGAAATGATCTATAGTTTTTACACATATGTATGTGAATCTATCTATTTCTATAGTAATGTTTTATAGAGGCGTATTAGTTCGCCATGTCCCCACATATTAGTAGAGGTCTCAGCCAGAAGAGGCCGTGCCATTGAACAGTATTGGTGGCTCTCGACTATTTAAAGGCCCTTGATACTGTCAATCATGCCACGCTGTTTGAGGACGCTCAGAATACGTTGTCAATTACATGTATGTACGCCGGTCGCACGTAGAATTCCGGAATAAGAAGTCCAAGTATCATAGAGTGAAACAGGGAGTTCTCCGAGGTGAGGTGATATCTCTGGAACTGTTTAACCACTATTTTATCAGAATTACGCGCCCTCCAGACGGCATTGAAATCGTTACCTATGCGTATAACAGTACGATCATGGCGTACATCCTGTCGTTGATGAAATATGTGCCATTACAATATGACTGCCACATTCTTGAAGTCCATAAACCCCAATATATATTACTGCTACAACAACGACAGCCCATAGAGCTCAAGCGTATTGAATGCACTCAAAGCGTTTCTGAAATACACATTACACCAATTTTGTGTGTCAGACACACTAAAAATACAAAGTGAGAGCTGAGTGTACCCAAGATTTGACACGCTGATTTTGAAAAAAAAAAAATTATATACCATTACATTCAGCTATACAGGTATGTCACTAAATCGTATCGAAATGTTTTGAATTTCGTAATTCAAAATCGTTCGTTTTTGTTTTAGCTTCTTCAGATTTCGTACGATTTGGTAAACTACGATTTCAGTGTAAATATGGCAACATTATATATTCAATATGGTAACATTAAGGGAATGAAAGAACGAATGAATGAGGAATCAACACAAAACACATGATTAGAATCATTGTAGAAGTGTAAATATTCTGTTTAAAAGAGATGTTTGTGCAAAAACAAACATTCCAATTGATTCCTCTATTTCTCTGAGCACATATTTGTCGAAAGGACCACCACCAGTTATTGCATATTCTTTTTTATTGTGACACCATGTCTTTTTCCACCCAATTGCAATCTTTGGTGGGTGGTCCCGAGGAATTTTGTTTTTCAGCAAATGTGACCAACCTGTTTCGGCAACCACTCGATCACCTTTGACAAAGCCCCTGGCTAGGTGCTGGTGGCTCTCCATAAAATCTATGATAATTGTTTCTTGTGCCGAATTCCTGTGCCTGCCCCTAAGAAAAAAAGTGATTTCCAAAAAAAAATGATGTGGCAACACTTTGTTAACAATTGCATTCGTCAATTGAGAAACCATTAAAATTTTCTAATTATTTTTAATTGTTATTACTTAAAAGTGTTTTGAGAGTGTTGTAAAGTCATATGTTTCCATAAAAAGACAATTTCACTTGCAAAAACAAAAGTGGTTTCAAACCAGAAATATTTTGCGTTTTACGATTTCTGAAGAAGCTAAATACGAAATTAAAATCACTTTCGTATCGAATTCGTTCCTGTGACATGCCTGATAATTTGACATATACCGGGGTTTGCAAACCGATGCTTATTTCGCCTCCACTTGCATTAAAAATACAAATATTGTCAATGCGGAAAGAAATATCGAATCTTCCTCAAATAATTGTTCAAAAAATTGCAAAAATTAAACTAGTACTTTGCTCAGTTGGGTATCTAAATATGGATTTTTTGTTTTTATTAATTTTTTTTATAAAATAAATTGGACTTTTTTATACAACTTTAAAGGGGACACAAACTACAGTGTATAAGTAATTCTTAGAATAATAAAATATGTATTTCATTGTTGTATTTAATTGTATGTGAAATTTATTATCGCATAAATATTATTTTTTGGTGCTAGAATACTAATTGTTTATTAATTGTGTGTGTGATTAAGTTTAATATCCTAAAATAATAATAGAACAAGAAAACATCCTGGTACGGAATTTTGTTAGACATATTCATGAATATGGACAATTATTTTTGTAATTCATCTTATAATGATGAATATATTAAATAAAATACACAATAATACGCTTATGAATAGTATATAAATCTCTACATTAAGGAAGAAAACAAGGAAGATAATTTTGAAGTTTATGTTGTTAATTTATATTTGAAATGCATTCCGAATCGTAGAAGCAATCTAACTTCAAATTTAACGAAATTATATTTTTAACATAATGCATTTCAACTCAAATAGTAATGCTAGTTTTGGATGCGCCATTATTTTTGGGTGTAAAGGTTTTCTTTTTTATACATGCGTATACAATATGTTGTAATCTTCTATGTAATTGTAAATTGTATCCGTATTGTAATTGGGTTTAGTAATTGTAAGTTGCATATAAAAATATATGTGTATATTATCAATTATAATTGTTCACGTCTCTAGGTAAATGATTCTGTGTGTTATTATTTGTTTGCGTTTCTCGATAACGTGTGTGTGTATATATAGTGTTCATTTTAAAGATTATTGTGTTTTTCGAATAAAGAGGCACGTGCAATATTTCCGCAAAAGTCACAAAAATGTTGGTCTAATCATCACCGCCAACGTCTTCATCCTCATCCTCTTGTGCCAATAAAGCACTATTTCGAGACATTTTCATATAGGCTGCACAAATGCATTCACATACAAAACGATATTGGCTCTAAAATGAAACAATTTAAAATTAAATTAAATATATTTTTTAATAGATATAAGCAACAAAACCCCTATAAATCGAATTACTTAAGAGACTACCTGTTTTAACCAGTTTTTGGTTGGTAAGACTTTCATCTATTATTTTCCAACTAACATAAATGTGCTTTATAATAACTTTGCAACACTTTAGAAATAACTAACAATTTTTCTAATTATACCCTCAGCCATATGGCTAGGGAGAGAGTATCCGTTTTGATCCAAACTTAGTACATCGTAATATTATTGTCAAACTTAGATCGAGTTCAGAGATGGGCAATATCGGTCCACTCCTTCTGGTACCTCCCCCCACAAAATGTCAACATTTTCAAAGAAAAAAATTTATTGCACAGAAAGAGAAAGGATAATTCGATTTTTCTTCAACTTTGCAAATCCTAATATTTGAATCAGTGCTAAAACAAAAATGGACAATGTCGGTCCACTCAATCAAATATATAATCACAACTTTTATAAAACACACATAACAATATTTTTATTTATCCAAACTCTGTTGTGAAGATGGAATATATCGATCCACTCCTTCCCCATAAAGATTCAAAATTTTAACTATCCGTAAAACTCATAAAACGCGAAATTAACATGTTATTCCATTCAGACTTGACAAATCTAAAAATTTCTATTAACACAAGATCTGTTATAAAGATGGTAAAGATCAGACCATTCCTTCTGGTACCTCCCCCACAAAGGGTCAAAGTTTGAATAACAAAAACGATTTTAAAATCCGAAATATACATCCGGCTCTCTTCATATTTCGCACATCACAATATTTTTATTACCCCAAGGTCTGGTGTAAAGATGGAAAATATCGGTCCACTCAACTGGCAACTCCCCCACAAAAGGTCGAAATTTTCACAAAAAATATTTTACTGCTCAGAAAGAGAATGGATAATCTGATTTGGTTCCATTATTGTGAATCCAAATATTTGCATCAGTGCTAGGTCAGGTGCGAAAATGGACAATATCGGTTCACTCTATCAAGTACCTCACCCACAAAGGGTCAACAATTTGAACATCCGTGAAGCTCATAAAACGCGAAATTAACATGTGATTCCATTCAGACTTGGTACATCTCAATATTTCCATGAACACAAGATCTGTTATAAAGATGGTATAGATCGGACCATTCCTTCTGGCACGTCCCTCACAAAGAGTTCAAGATTTTGAAAAACAAAACGCTAAAAGAAAGCAAAATAAGCTTTTAACTCTCTTCAAGTTTTACTGATCTGTTGTGTAGATGATATATATATCTGCGAACCCTTTCTTTCTGGTACCTCACCCACAAAAAGTCACCATTTTCAATAATATTATCTGTCATAACTTGAGAAAAAAGTTAGCTATTTTTCTAAAAATAATCACATATGAAATGAAGGAAGTATTCGATATAGTCCAAACCTGGCACGTCGCAATATTTATATCATATTTATTTGGATGCGACACGAAATGGACAATATTAGCTCATTCCTTCGGATCCCACTTCATAGAGGGTCAACAATTTGAATAATCAAAATATATTTAAATAATCGAATATTGGCTGAGGGTATACATCAGTCAGCAAAACCAGCTGATTCCTTTAAACTAGTTTTCAAATCATTGTCACATAATTTACATACCACATTTTGCACCATACAAGCTCTTTGATCACGCATTGTACGCACAATGTCCAACGGATAGACTGGTTCCCGAGCCTCCATCAAGGCTAATGCTGTATCCATTAGTATCAAAACACCCGTACGCCCAATACCAGCCGAACAATGCACTATCACAGGCGGATTAGCAGCACTAATACATCTGCAACGTAAAAATACATTTAAGAAAGGAAAATTGGAAGCAATTTATTGAATTGCAAAAAAGAAGAAATTCTTACTGATGGACACTTGTTGAAACTGGTGTTTCATCTTCGGGAGTAACACCATTACTTGCAGCACATTTGCGTTCGCCCATAATACCACCATTTTCATCAGCATCAGCATCTAAAAGCCGAACTTGTTTAAGACTTTCTTCGATTTCCTGCAGCAATGTACGATTGCGAGCATTTCGAACTCGTTCAACAAATTCCAAGAAAAGATTTGGATCTGAGGGCACACAATGATCGGGCCAGGCAAGATATTGCATATGTTGTATATGACGTTGTTCGCCAGTACGCCTGTCACATAGCAGAAACTCCCGAAAAACAAAACTTCCTGTCTCGTCTGGTTTCTCACTAAGACATTTCACACACAAACCCTCGCCCAACTGTAGTTCATCTCCTGTTACTGGCCAATATTGGTGACATTTTTGTCTGCCAGCTTCCATTACTGTCGTTAGCATTACAACTAAGTGACTACTTTCCTGTTGCACCATACGCCAGAAATCCGTTGTTGTGGAGGCTAGAGGACCTTGGGTGGCAATATATCGATTAATGCCTCCTGGGATTTCCATATTTACATAGTTTGCATTTATATAATCACCGCTCGAGCAATTGACTAACGTTACACGCGTACAGTCATATGGTGATATATCACGATAACGATTTTTAGCAACATTTTCAAGTTTTCTGGCTTCCGTTATGGCCAGGTCGGGATTTTTACGATACATCAATTCGTATTGAGCCAAAAGCGCACCTGAAGCCAGGCCATCGCTAAGTAACAATAAACTTTGTGTAAACAGAGCATCTCCATCGAGCAGGTTTGAATGTGAGCCTATCTCGTCAGTTTCCGGTACATATTGATATAGAGGTTCTTCTTCTTCGGTTAGAGCAGGACCTGTTGAGCAAGGACGCATTGTAAGTAGCAATTCGCCGGTACGTGTGTTGCGGCAATCTTTTATCATATTGACAACTTGTTCGTGTGTCAGTCCCGTAACTTCTCTGCCATTAATGAGGACAACTTCATCGCCTTCACAAACCCTTGGCGTGCAACGATCGGCAGGCGTATGGGGCACAACTTTTGACACCTGAACCGGCAATCCCAAGTCAATGCCCCCCTTGACATTGAATCCAAAACGACCATGTTCATCGGCCAGCAAACGTATGGTTATTAAATCGCTACCACTTTCTGGGGCTGTAGAACAACCATTCATGTAAGGGTTCATGCCTGCACATATTTGAGTGCCGTTTGGACTATGCGATCCCGTACTATATGCGGGTACTGGAGATTCAAAGCGGCGACCACATTGATCAATATAGCCAGTATCTCTGTAAAAGTTACAAAATATGATGGTTAAATACATATAGAACTGTCGGGTTACTGCAGTAGGAAATCCTTACAGTTGGATGTCATATTCATCACTTTGTTGTTCCCAAGCTTTACGAGGCATTGTATCCAATTGTTTTGACGTAACTTTATTGTCATGATGTGGACGGCTGGTTTTTGTTATAGTTAAAATGGACGTATGTGTGGCAGCAATAGCGGACGGAGCTTTACCATTGTGAGAAACACTGCCATTACTATCAGAGCCGCTGGCTCCATTTGCTAAGGGGGACATTGTAGTGCCACCTGGTCCAATAGCAATAAGCCGTTTACTTGGTGAACGTACAAAGGCCTTGTGGATCTTAACACGTTGTTTTGATTCCTGTACGGCTTGCAATTCGGTACGCCCAGAGTAATAGAATCTGAAGGCAAGTAACAATTTTAAGAACTTCAATATTTTTTTATTTTTGTGTGGAACTTACTTTGATCCCAAGCTTAAATTAAGAAATCGTGATAAACGATGTGGCCGTTTCAGTCGGAAGAAAGAATGATGCTCAACACAGGATTTCCATAATGATTTTGCATGCTTGTGTGACGTCATACTAAAGCCTAACAGAGTGTCATAGCTTTCGGACTAACGAAAAGAAAAATATACATTAAATAGGTATGTACTCCGGATAGAAAGTCTGAAAAACTCACCGGTTCTCGGCGCAGCTGAATGAAGAAATCTTTACGCTTAAAAGAAACTTTGACCATTTTGGACCAAGAAAATGTGTTTATCCGCAAACCGTTTTGAAACACTAATAGGCCTATGGCCGATACACCCAATTGCAATTCTTTGCCATTGGAATCCTGCCATTGTAAAAAATCATTGTTTTAATATATATTTTTTTTAAATATACACTTTCTAATACACACCATGGCTTTGTGTAAATCAATTCCATATAAATCAAGTCTTTTTGCATGTTCTAAATAATTATATTCGGCATCCGCAGGCAACTGACCGCGGTGTAGTTTATGTAGTTCAGATATTTTGCGTTCAGCATCTGGGGTTTGATCAGCTAATAATTGCATATTACTCAAGTAACCAGCCTGATGTTCCGTGGGATTGAAATCGCCCAGTTCAGCTATAGAAAAGACCAATCATTTGCCTTCAAACATTTACAAAATATTCCAAATAATACTTACATTGCACTGTATAACTTGCCAACAGACATTGTGTATTAAGTGAACATGGCAACTTGCCCAATAATATGTTACGTTTTATTTGTAAATAAAACTGATAACGTGTAAATTCTTCTTGTAAACGACTGGGATCACTTACATAAAACTACAAACAAAATAATGGATAATTACATTAGACAGCTGGCGAATATAGATAATAATTAAATATTTACCTTAACCCTAAATTCTAGCAGTGGTACGGCGTCATTGTCCAAAGCAATACTATTGCATTGTTTCTTGAAAGGCTTTTGGGCATCAACCCACCGCTAAAACAGAACAAAAGATAATGTGATAAAAATTATGTTTCAAATAGTTTTAATTTTATTCTTTGAACTTACCACAACATCTCCTGGTTTTGAGGGAAATAATAGGCCAAAATAGTCCCTTTCGGATAGTTCGAGAAACTGATATACTTGCTCCAGTAAATCACCGCCTTTGGCTCGTTTCTAAAAATAAGGGAAATATTATAGTTTATATTTAGCTATAAATAGGATTTATTTGGTTATTTCGAAAGATTCAATTTGAGGAAATGTAAATTGTGGAGCGCACAATAGAGACTTTAGCCAGATTTGGGGCATGGAATTGAGTTTTTAATGATTTGAATCATAATTTTGTAAGTTTCATTTATCTTTCGCGCTTTTCAATTCATTCCAAAAATAAGTACATATTTTAACTTGAGAATCTTATTATCCCTCCACCAATGAAAGGAGGGTATATTAAATAAAATATATAATATAATATAATATAATATAATATAATATAATATAATATAATATAATATAATATAATATAATATAATATAATATAATATAATATAATATAATAAATATTCGTCGTAGACCCCATAAAGTACGGGGTGAAATGAAAAAACTGCAACCAACTTCAGACTGCTGTCATTTCTAAGCCACTCGTCCGACAGCTGTCAAAATTATTCCTGCGACAGCTCATTATATTGTTTACAAGCGTACAAACGCATTTTGGAAATGATTTCCCAGAAATACGTTTTTCGTGATGGAATTCATATTTGGCTGGAAAACCACAAGTTGCTATCGTTAGAACACTCTAGCATTTAAATGTGAATTCATCCTTTGTGTCTCGTACCATCGCTCGTTACCGTGATTTTGGTAGTGTAGCCCGACGTCAAGCACGTGGACGGAAGAAAACAGCAAATGGTTCGAAAAGTAAAGACGCAACTTGATCGAAACCCGCGACGCAGTGGTCGAAAAATGACCCGTGAGCTGAACATATCGCAATATTCCATTCGGCAAATATTGAAAAATAAGCTCGGGCTAACACCATTGAAATTCCAAAAAGTGCAAGAACTTACACTGCAACAGAAAGAAAATAAACTCAAAAGAGCTAAAGAGTTGTTTCGTTTGGCCGAAAGTGGTGAACTGCCAAATTTGGTTTTCTCCGATGAGAAAACATTTGTTGTCCAGCAGAATGATTGTGTGTACTTGCCAAAAAGGTCAGCTGAAAATGTGCACCTTCGGTTGGCCATCAGAACTCAAACGCCGGCCGTGGTGATGGTGTGGGCCGCCATTACAGCCGATGGTCGCTCTCCGCCCGTATTAATCGACCGTGGCATCAGAATAAATGCCGAATATTATTGCGAAAATATTCTGGAGGGTGTATTTAAGCCTTGGGCATGGAAACATTTTGGCCGTAGACCTTTGGCATTCCAACAGGACTCAGCACCATCGCATTCAGTACGCGCCACCCAAGAATGGTTACAAAATGAGATTCCTCGCTTCATTTCCAGCGCACAATGGCCACCAATAGCTCCGGATACCAATCCGTTGGACTTTTGTGTTTGGAGTATTTTGGAAAGCAAGGTTGGCACTAAAAAATACCAAAGTGTCGATCACCTCAAGCAAGCGCTTCGCCGGGAATGGGCCAAAATACTTTGTTGCAATTTTTTTATTTTACTCTGTATATGAAGTTATAGCTATATCCCCTGGGGCCTCACCCTGGATATGTCGGTGTTATGAAGCCCTAGGGGTTACAATAGGCCAATGGGAATCAAAAACGTGGCCCTATATTTACACATCTTCTTCAAGCAATTTTTTGTTCAAGAACATTAAACCTTAATCATGGCTTGAAAAAGCATATCCAGCATAGATTATTTCATCTTAAACCACAAGAACAATTTACATTTGTACGTATTAAAAAAATGAAAATTGCATATCATTATTACGAGTGTCTATACGATGCGATGTGTTCTGTCTGCGTAAAAATTCAACATTTACAACATTTCATTTACAAACTTGTATGTCTAAGAAATCGAAACTGTTACCCTGATAATTAAATGAATATTCAAAAATACCATGATAACTTTCCACACACAACTTGTTGATAATGGCGAATGTAAATAGATTGAGAAAAAAACATGAATAAACAAATAAAAACATGTATGTAAGAAAATTAATATACAGTGGAAACAAAGATAACATCGAAAATCATTAGCAATGTGTTGAGGTGATAGTACTTTACCAACAAACATCTCCACATATTTTTTTTTTTTTTAAATTGGGGAGAATATACAAATAATTTTAGTCAAACTATAAACATAATTTATAATGGGGGTTTTCCAATAATAAGATGTGTTATTTTGATATTCAACGAAATATGCTTTATTGAAATAAATAATTATTTCTAAATAAAGAAGAAAAACATTGTGACATCCATATCCCTTTCATGAAATTTTACTTGACCAAATCACAAAGTCAAAAGTCTTCGGAATTTTGCTTATTATATAGGGTCAAATGCCATAATTTTTACATTTTTTTTTAATTTATTGAATGAAAACAAAAAATGTCGGAAATAGCATCAAATTTTAGAATAAGTTTAGATTTGTTCGAATTGGTCACCTTAGGCACGAATTATGGCCTTCAAACTGCCAATGAAACCGTCACAGGCTGGCCGAATTGTTCTGCGGTATTTTGGCCCATTCTCGGCGAAACGCTTTTTTGAGGTGATCTACACTTTTATTTTCAGTGCCAACCTTGCTTTCCAAAGTACTCCAGTCACAATATTCCAACGGATTGGTATCCGGAGATTTCGGTAGTCATTGTGCGCTGGAAATGAAGCGAGGAAATTAATTTTGTAACCCATCTTGGGTGGCGCGTACTGAGTCCTGTTGGAATGTCCAAGGTCTGCGGCCAAAATGTTTGCGTCCCAAAGTTTTAATACACCCTCCAGAATATTTTCGCGATAAAATTCGGCATTTATTCTTATGCCACCGTCGATTTATACGGGCGGAGAGCGACCATGGCCGACGCTTGAGTTCTGTTGAACAACAGAAGGTGAACATTTTCAGCTGACCTCTTTAGCAAGCAAACACGATCATTTTTTTTTTTTTTTTGTTTACAAACTGCTGGACAACGACTGTTTTCTCATCCGAGAAAACTAAATTCCGCAGTTCAACACTTTTGGCTAAGCGAAGCAACTCTTTAGCTCTTTTGAGTCTATTTTCTTTCTGTTGCGGTGTAAATTCTTGAACTTTTTTGGATTTCAATGGCTTTACCCAGAGCTCATTTTTCAATATTTGCCGAATGGAATATTGCTATATGTTCAGCTCACGAGCCATTTTTCGTTCACTGCCACGCAGGTTTTGATCAAGTCGCTTCTTTACTTTTCGAACCATTTCTGCTGATGTTGCTGTTTTCTTCCGTCCACTTCCTTGACCCCGGGCTACGCTACCAGTATCACGGTAACGAGCGATGGTAAGAGACACAAAAGATTTATTCACATTTAAATGCTGGAGTGCTCTAACAATAGCATAACCAAATATAAAGAAATCACACTATCACGCTTGAAAATTCTTACCAAAATGCTTTTGTACGCTTGTTAACAGCTGTCAGACGACTGGCTTAGAAATGACAGCAGTCTGAAGTTGGTCGCAGTTTTTCCATCTCACCCTGTATATTATTTGATATTTCTAAAACGTACATTATCAAAATAACGGATGTAGACTCCAGGTCTCTTTAGACAAAGTCCGTTCCCGTCCGTTTTGGAGTTTATTTAAGGCTGTCCGTCCGCCCGTCTATTTGGCGGGTGCGCACGATAACTCTCGAAGGGACTATCCGATTTAATCCTAACTTAGTACATCATAATGTTGTTGTCAAACTTAAATCGAGTTCGGTCCCCCACAAAAGTTCAAAAATTTTCACAGAAAATAATTTACAGTATCGAACCAGAAAGGATCACCCAGTTTTGTGCAAACTATGCAATTCCCAATATTTATATGAACGCTGTGTCGGTGCGAAAATAAACAAAATCGACCCACTCCATCATGTGCCTCCCCCACAAAGGGTCAAAATTTTGAATAATTATGACTCTCATAAAATAAAATAAGCATCCGATTCCTTTAAACATCACACATTCCAAAATTTCTATTAACACAAGATCTGAAGTGAATATGGGATATATCGGACCACTCCTTCTGATATCTCCCAGGATCAAATTTTGAATAACTATGAGCATTCGATTACTTTCAAACTATGCACATCTTAATATTTTTACTAACAAAAGATCAGCTGTGAAGATGGAATATATCGGACTACCTTCAATTTCATAAAATGGGAAATTCGCTTCGGACTCTCTTCAAATTTCATACACCGCAATATTTTTATTAATGTAAAAGCAGAGTTAGTTCAGATGAGAAGTAGATGATATTGTTCCACCCCTTCGTAAGAGGTCAACATTTTTCATAATGTTTGCCAATTTTTTTTAATAAACTGACATATGCTGGGGCTGCACATCTGTCAAGGATTTCGGAGTCAAGACGATATTATCGATGGATTAATTTTCATGCATTTTAAGGACCCAATCAGCAAAGAAAATACCTTATTGATTATCGGCTGGCGTAAGTCCTTGTGTTTACTGAACTTTATATGACTTATAATGTATAATCCTTGACTTCAAACTCTTTCGGCTAAAGCAACAGTATACTTAGTTGTTCTTAAGCGTGTTTTATTCTTGTCCCGACACTTCCCAAAAGTGCTTTAGTTTTGGTACCTGTAGCTGCGAGATTTTTACAATTTTGATAATGCATTTTAATAATTTCAATGGCTGGTTGAAGCGTATCACGTTCCATTGTTAGTAATGACATAGCTTCTACATCCAAATTTGGTCATTCAAAATAAAATCACTTGTTGAAAAACCCCCTATAAATCCAAGCCCCATAATAGCGTAGTAATGTGTCCGTTTTCTATTAATGTGTTTAATAATACCCTATAATTTTAGCACTCAATAAAACATATTATAGCATAATATACCTACCTCTATCCGAAAGGTGTGCGTGGTGTCATCGAGAAATAGCACTGTAATACATTGTTGTCTTTGTTTCTTATCTCGAGCCAGTTCTGTAGTTCGTAATTGGTAGTGGCGACTTAAATTACTAAGGCGAAAACGTTCAAACATTGCAATGAGCCATCATGGTGAACTACCAAATTTCTTTTCTTATACCACGACTCTTTTGATTCGATTGGATGTTGTGTGGTTTTGTTCTTTGTGTACGTTACAAAATATGAAATTAAAAATTTCAAAATCTTTTCTTATATCCTTGCTACATCTGTTTTGTTCTTAACAAAAGTGTGCTAGTTTTTTTTTTCGATTTTTATTTAACGTTGATAATGGATGGAATACGATGTTAATGCTTATGTTTTTTCTTTACGTTTGTATTAAGATTTATGTATATATTAAAAATAAGTAGATATCGCTTATTGCTAACTTTGAAGCAGTTTAAAGTCTTGACAGTGGTATCTGAAAAGAAGAAAGAAAAGAAAAATAATTGTATAATTAAGTAAGTTGCGTATTTGTATATATCTTTAAATGTTATAAATTATTTTATAGCTTAGTAAGAAAAAAATTGATGTAGTTTTTCAATCAATATAACATTCTGAAATAGCCCAAATAACACTGCACAAGTTTACGCCGAGAGTTGACCAATATCTATTATCTCCAAGAATTTTGTTAATCTATATACAGGGTGAGATGAAAAAATTGCAACCAATTTCAGACTGCTGTTATTTCTAAGCCACTCGTCCGACAGCTGTTAAAATTATTCCAGTGACAGCTCATTATATTGTTTACAAGCGTACTAAAGCATTTTGGTGAGAATTTTCCAAAAAAAAAAAAAAAAAAACAAAAAATTCGTGATAGAATTCAAGCGTGATTGTGTGATTTCTTTAATTTTGGCTGGAAAACCAAAAGTGGCTATCGTTAGAGCACTCCAGCATTTTAATGTGAATAAATCGTTTGTGTCCCGTACCATTGCTCGCTACCGTGATACTGGTAGTGTAGCCCGACGTCAAGGAAGTGGACGGAAGATACAACAGCAACATCAGCAGAAATGGTTCAAAAAGTAAAGAAGCGACTTGATCGAAACCTGCGTCGCAGCGGTCGAAAATGGATCGGGAGCTGAACATATCCCGGCATATATCGGCAAATATTGAAAAATGAAATTCCAAAATACCAAAGTTTCGATCACCTCGTCGGGAATGGGCCAAAATACCGCAGAGCAACATTCGGGCAGCTTGTGACGATTTCATTGGCAGTTTGGAGGTCATAATTCGTGTCAAAGGTGACCAATTCGAACAAAGCTGTTTTTTTATCTCACCCTGTACATTAAAGAGTTGTTAAATAACGCCCAGATGAAACGGCTGAAGCTTTAATATTGAATATGCAGGAGAGACAGTTTGAGTGTGTAGGCGTGGGAAATTCGTACTTAGCAAAACGAAAAGTACTAAAATGTATTAAAAATTGAATACTTTTGTATTGGAGAAACGGAACGAGCTAGATATTTGTAATGAGAGTCACTAATGGAGTGCAGGATAGATTTAACAAAGGGTTTTTGGAATATCTAACTTTAAGGTTATGAATAGTTCTAAAATGTTACTAAAATTCTAAAATGGTCCCATTAGGTATTATGTGAACGAAAAGAGTTGAAAACAAGTAAAAAAAAACATTAAGTTCGGTTAGACCTAACCAGGCCTCCACCATTGGGTAAAGAAAACATTTTTACATAAAAGTGGGTACGGCTATGCGTGGGCTATACAAAAACGCGGACCTATACATACAATGCTTCACCACCCATTATGACCAACAAATTCCAATTTTTATACAAACCCGTGGACAAACGTGGTGAAAAACATCAAAATACCGAATATCGGGAGGTATCGTTATATGGCGGCTATTCCAAAACGTGGACCGATATATCTGATTTTTAATACCAACCATCTTAGACACAATATAAATTGTTTAAGCTCTACGTCAAATAATGTGGGCTGTATCCTGATTTCAACAAACAGACAGACGGACATCGTTAAATCGACTTAGAATTTTATGATGATTATGAATATATACACTTTATAGGGTCTAAGAAGAATATTTAGGAATTTTACAAACGGAATGGCAAAGTTAATATACCCTCCTTTTCAAGGTTGAGGGTATAACTAGAAATTTGGTATGAGAATCATGGTTGGAGAGTTGTACGAAAGTACAAAATAGTACTCATTTTCGATCACTGTTTGTGTTCTAGAATGGAGACATGTAGATTTTATTGGATAAAGGTATGATGCTGAAACTCTGAAATTTGATATTAAGGGCACTGTTAGTGTCTAGGGCTTACATATGGATATGTTGACAGACAGAAAATTAGATGTGAGTCCATTGTGGAATGGTTTTACTATTATCATCCTTGGTAAATTTCAAAATTAAGGGTATTAAAGACTTTTTGGTGTTGTATTATTCTTTCCGAAAAAGGAAAAACTTGATTAATGTATAAAACCTTGTAGGACTGCTAATTTATTACAATGTATGATGTTTTGACAAAAAAAAAATATTACCAAACTGAACAAATTGTGCATTTTGAGTACTAAAAATATATAAACACGAACTGCTGGAACATATCTAAGGTATTAAGATGGAATTTTCTCTGACGAAGTGACAGGCACTTGCTAGCATTCAACATAAGTTAATGCACGTATTCTAGACATTTATTGATTCGTGGATTATAAAAGATACAGGGAGAAGAGAGATTTAGTGGAGATGGAGAAGAAATGACATTTATCTCATTCAACTACCTTCTTTTCCGTACACTTTCCCTACCTATTTACGAACTTATTCTGGAGATACAGTATATTTTCTCTAAGGTAAAAAGAGAAAATATGTAAAAGTTTTAATGTGTTCTTTAGGGATTCTCCTCAAAGAAATAAAAATAATATTCAAGAATAAATTCACATTTCCATTGAAAAAATAATTCAAAAATAATCCTGCTCATTGTCTTATAACAAAGGATGGATTATTTACAATTCGTCACATTAAAACAAATATATATGGATCTTACAATGTCCACAATGACATATTATATCCTTGTGTGAAGGTTTTATTGTTCAATAGTTATTACCAAAATGACAGACATTGACGTAAATTGCATTTTTTATTATTATTTAAATTTATTTTACAATGCTTTACAAAAAAGGCTTTACTATAAAAGAAAATGGAAATCTCTACAATAAGACACAGGCGAGAATGTGTGAAATGTAGGGAGGCAAGGTTTAAAAGCCAGCACCGATTGAAATTGGCCTTAACTTTACAGTGCAACTGCCATGAAATGTTGACAGCCAGCTATTTAGGTCGTTTTGATGTGCTATTTAGGCCTAAACGGCAATGGAGAAACAAATATAGCAAACAAAACAGCAATAGCTATGAGTTCGTCTCAGCTATTTTTATACCCTACCTAAACCACAAGGTGGTCAGGGTATTTTGTCTTTGTGCATTTGTTTGTAACAGGCAAAAGAAAACGGGATAGATTCATAGTTCTCTTTGATGATCTGCACAATGTGAGTCAATTTATGCATGTCTGTCCGTCTGTCCATGTATTTTTTGTAAATAAAGTATAGGTCGCATTTAATGCCCGATCCAGATAAAATTTTGCACAAATCGTTTGTTTGGCCCAAGGACGAACCCCATTGAACTTGTGTAATATCAGTATGGAATTTTGCACATACTACCAAATTAGGTCTGAAAATAAGTATGCCGAATTTGATCGAAATCGGTTCAAATATAGCTATACCTCCCATATATTTTGTTTGTCCGATTTGTTATTTTTGTCCACCGCAGCAGTAATAGAGTGCACATTAACAACAATATTTGGGGAAATATATCAAATACAGCTCACAAATACCCTTGCTAAATTATATCGTTTTAGATTTAAATATAGCTCCCATATACAACTTCGTCCGATTTGCACTCTATTGTAAACCAAATTTGTAATATTAGCCCAAATGGGATGGAATTTAACACTTACGACCAAATTGAGTCTAGAAATTAATATGTCAAATTTGGTGAAGATGCTTTCAGATATAGCTATATCTGCCATATATATTGTTTATCTGATTTCTTATATTTGTTCCCCACAGCCGTGATATGCTCTCCGTAACGAGCATATACCAAACAGGGAAATATATCAAATACAGCTCAGAAATACCGTTGCTAAATTTTATCGAGATCGATACAGATTTGGATATAGCTCCCATATATATCTTTAATAAGACTCGATGTTTCTGAAATTTACACAAAAACATTTAGGAATTTACTGTGGTAAAATTAGGCTATTCATTTTATACAATGTCAAAGCGGCGTGGTGCCTTCCACACTCCCCTTTTTAAAAAAAACGCAGCGTTAGAAGCGCTGAAACATCTTTGACAATATATTACGCTACAACCACTATCCAGACACCTATAAAATTCATCGTAATTCTATCGAATCTAGAGATGGGTTGTTATAAGTCCAGGCGTCAGTTGCTTAGAGTTCGTACAGACAATAAATAAAAACAAAATAGTTAAAATAATAATATGTGAAATTTATATCTGTTATTACTAGAACCTTCGCAGGGACATTGCATTCCTTCCAAGCTTGAATATGTGTCTCGTCGTATCTATAACGTGACTCCATTTTTTTCACTTATTCGACTTGATACCAGCAAGTTTGCGATGTCTTCCATTAAAGGATTCCTAGGTAATGTCACTGTTTATCAACAACTCGTCCATCATTTTTTGGTTTTATACCTCTCAATACCATGAGTTTGTAAGGCCAAGCGATACATTTAAACATAAATGTATCAGTTGTAAATTCCAGTATTATTGCCTTTAACTTATCACCCTTCCAAATGGTTTTGTTTATTTCTCTTTTGATAAATATTTAAATACTCATTATCTGCAATATAAGCTCGACGAGTGCGATGACACTAAATACGTAAAGCTACCGAAAAGATATGTAAAATGAGAAAGTATTCGCTGAAAACAATTTGTAACCGACAGAATAGATGGGTATTGTTTGTTTCTAGCTTTGCGTAGCGGAAGTTATGGAATTTGTCATTGTTGCAGAGGCAAATGCAGCTGCTACTTCTGCTGCAGCATTATCATGTTGAATAGAGGCTTGTTGTAGACAAAGCTTCACAAACGAACACCACTCGCAAGTTTCAAATGGATTGCCATTGTTTTTGATTATATATGCAATATTTTCATAAAATACTACCCAACATACAATGTTATTAAGGGTTAGGAAAGTGGAAATGTCTTTCCTTTTGCGGATACAAAAATACTATGCTTTTACATTTAAATATCAAATGTTTACTCCGAAATGTTGATAAAAAATTTAATAATATCGAAATAACTGTTTGGACAAATGCTGTCATCTTTATACCAGATCTTGTGTTGATAGAAATATTGAGATGTACCAAGTCTGAATTGAATCGGATG